TTTTCTTTTACTAAAATTGTTTGTTTTAATTTTAGAATTTCCCATTAAAATTGTAAATGCAGTTCCTGTTGGATAGTAGTTATAAAAAAATTGGGGTAGTGGATTGGTTTAATATTAAGAAAAAAATTGTCCATTACCTATAGTAACAAAGGCAAAGTTCTTGTTCTTCTCTCTCCCCTGCAAAATATTAAACAAATATTGCATAGTTGAAGGCAAATGCACTTTGAACAGCTGTTTATCAAAAGCTGCCAATCTTGGTAAAATAGTTAATATGGCTTGTTGCACATATGTATACCTAAAAATTAGAATTTTATTTAATATTTACACTATAATTTCACTTACTTTGAAGTGAATCTCTGTGCCAGCACATCAAGACAAATATACTCAAACTTTTCAGACACCAGCTGTCTGCAAACAACAGACTCCAATATCAAAGGCTTTTCTGGCAACAACTTGGGCAAAATATGCGTGCTTGACTTCTTATTGGGCAAATTGTACATAAACAGAGGCCTTTCGAACGTAAATTGATCGAATTCGATGCTAGATTTAGTGTCGGTGGTTTCCAAAAGTTGCGTGTACTTCCGTTCCCACTGAGCGTTGGAAAAACGCAGCAATTCGTTTAAAATCAACAATGAACCGTGAACTCTCTCATCTCTAACCTTCTCACCTCTGTCTACAGTGAGGAGTTTGCCGGATTCCTCATAACATTGTTTGTACCTAAATAAACGTGAATTATAACCTAACACTGGTCAACAGATTTATTAAGTCACCATAATGTTTTTTGATTTTCTTTGGTGAACTCCCTTTGAGCTGTAACTATAAGAGCAGCCCGTAGAGCATCTATGGCCCCTTCGCGAATCGCCGGCTTTGGGTCTTGAGTTGCATAGAATATGAGCTCGAAAAATTGCGAAACTTGTTGGTAGAAGTATGTAGGCATTGTCATTGCCAATTCCTTTAAAACCAACACTGCTGCATGTCTTTTACCCTGTTTATATTAATTGATTGATAATAATTTAAAATTGTTAATATAAATCCTACAAACCTCATTTCGGTCGCCTCTAAGCCACTCGTAAGCTCTATTAACTTCAAATTCCACGTATTCTGATGCCTTTGAACCTGATACTTCAGCTAGTAGCCCTGTGGTTCTAGCTACAAGTTCCATAACACCAATATCGTTGGACGGCAACAATCTCCTCAAATAATTCGCGAATCTTGTTATTCTCGTGGTCATATTGTCCATATCGGCGCCAATAAAACAAACTGCAACAGTTTTTGTTAAAATAGACTCATAACAGGCTATATTTGACTCAAAACTTACCAATGGCCAAAATACCCCCCTTTTTCTCGTTTACGTCGTTGCTGTTAATCATTTCGAATATCTGGTGGTTGAATTCCTCCATGAATTGATCGATTTCATCTTGGGGCGCCTCTCTCAGCTCGCTTTTTGCGTATAAGGATAATTCTTGAACGGTTTTTAGTCGAGCGGTTTCGTTCTTCGACTTCAAATTGGTCACGAAATTGTGCAGCACCGTCGAAGACATGTTGGTAACCGTCTGTTTTACTCTTTAGGTAAGCGATAAAAACAATAACATTTCAATATTTTTATTCCTTGAAAGCAGAACAATTACTTGATTTGAAGGTTATGTTGTTCAAGTGTTGCCAACTGTCAATTGTGATATATATGCAACCCAGATAACATTTGTGTTTTTGGTTGCATATATACGACAATTAGATTGGAAAGAATAATAATTTAAGGACTGGGAGGTGAAACAAAAAAGAGTTAAACGTAAGTAAACGAATAATATATTTCTGTAGGTACACTGAATATAATTTTTTTGAAAAACTCTTAAAATCTACATAAAAAACACCATACGTATGGTCCATACTACACAGAATAAAACTAGATATTAGAGTGACTATGAACTAAAATTTAAAATAAGTAAATTCAAAAATAAATCTCTTATATTTACAAATAAGCAGATAAATTTTCTGTAATATGATGTTATTTTAACCAAATTTATATAATAAGAAAATAATACTGAATACTATATACAGATGAATAATAATAATAATATAAGTAGATGAATTGTGAAAAGTTAACAATTGAAAATTATGAAAATAAAAAGTGAGTTGTCAATTAATAAAACAGTAACTGAGATTGCAAAATAGAGATAAAAATAACACACAACTTTGAGTTGCAACAAAACAAGTATTTAAAAAATCATTTAATAAAATATTTACAAAAGAAATAATGGAAATAAAGCAAATATTGCACATGAGCAGAAATTAATTTGTGCCAATTGTAAAATAAAAACAGAGATCAAACGATTGTCACAAAATTAAAAAATGCACAAGAAAAAATACAAAAATCGTCATAAGATTAAAAAAATCGTTACAATCACAAATGGCAGTTGCAAGCAAAACCTAGTAAAGAGTAAAACAAATTAAACCAGATCTACGTTCTACCGGACTAGAATTTTAAAGAAATCGATTTTTTTTCTCTTTCTCGACGTAAAAAAGGGGCCTAAAAGTAACAATCCCTACTACACGTTAATTTCAGTCGTTACGTTTTAAATTTAGAATATAAGTACAAGCACCGAACCAGCGCATTTCGAAAACCACGCTACATTTCAACTTAACCCTACCCAAATGACAGATGTCAAAAATGGCAAATAATTGAAGGCAAATGTCAAAAATGACAGATGGGAAATGTCAAAGCAACAGGTACAAAATTGCAAATGTCAGATTGCAAATTTTCCATGACATGTAAAATGTCACAAATAACAGGTGGCAAAAATAAAAATAACAAATGTCAAAAGTGACGTATTTAAGAAATGACAGATGGGAAATGTCAAAGCAACACAGGTCAAAAATGGCAGATGGCAATTATTAAATGACAGATGACGAATGTCCAAAATTACAGATAGCAAATGTCAAAAATGACAAATGTCAAAAGTGACAGATGTCAAAAGTGACAGATTTAAAAAATGACATATGTAAAAGTGACAAATGACAGATGGAATTTTTTTAAATAAAAGATCACTTTTGTTTAAAGTGACATGTCAAATTTATCACATGTCAAAAGTGCCAGATGTCAAAAGTGACAGATGTCAAAAGTGACAGATGTCAAAAATGACATCTGTCAAAAATGATATGTCAAAAATGACCTGTAAAAAATGACAGCTGGGAAACCTTGAAATTACAAGGTTCTAAGTGCAGCTGCAGCGTTAAGTAAAAATGACTTATCTACAATATTAAATATTGTAGATAAGGCATTTTCGCTTAACTTGACAGCTGCACTTAGAACCTTGACATTCCAAGGTACCAATACGTCAAAAAAGGCAAATGTCAAAATGACAGATGCCCAATGTCAAAAATGACAGATTGCAAATGTCAAAAATAACAGATTGAAAATGTAAAAAATTACAGATTTCAAATGTCAAAAATGACAGATTGCAAATTTCGATAATGACAGATTGCAAATGTTAATTTACAGATGACAAATGTCAAGAGTAACAGATGTCATATGTCAAGCGTAACAGATGGCAAAAACGACAGGTGGCAAATGTCAAAAAAGACAAATGTCAAAAATGACAAATGTCAAAAATGACATGGCAAGTTACAAAAATGACAGATGAAAATACCAAAAATGACAGATGAAAATACCAAAAATGACAGATGAAAATACCAAAAATGACAGTTCAAAATACCAAAAATGAATGATAGTAATTCTTAAAAATGACATTTGGCTATTGGCAAAAATGACATTTGGCAAATGCCAAAAATGACATTTGGCAAATGCCAAAAATGACAGATTGCAAATTACAAAACGACAGGTGGCAAATGTCAAAAAAGCCAAAAACGACAAATGGCAAAAATGACATTTGGCAAATGCCAAAAATGACAGATTGCAAATGTCCAGCGTGACAGATACCAAAAACGACAGGTGGCAAATGTCAAAAAAGCCAAAAACGACAAATGTCAAAGATGACATCGCAAGTTACAAAAATGACAGATGAAAATACCAAAAATGACAAATGAAATGCCAAAAATGACAGATAGCAAATCTCAAAATTGATATTTGGCAAATGCCAAAAATGACATTTGGTAAATGCCAAAAATGTAACATACCTAATGTCAAAAATGACAGATTGCAAATTTCAAAAATGACAGATTGCAAATCCCAAAAATGACATCTCAAGTTACAAAAATGACAAATGAAATGCCAAAAATGACATATAGCAAATCTCAAAATTGACGTTTGGCTATTGCCAAAAATGACATTTGGCTATTGCCAAAAATGACATTTGGCTATTGCCAAAAATGACATTTAGCAAATGCCAAATATGACATTTGGCAAATGCCAAAAATAACATTCGGCAAATGCCAAAAATGACATTTGGCAAATGCCAAAAATGACATTTGGCAAAATGCCAAAAATGACATTTGGCAAATGACAAAAATGACAAATCGTCACCTGAGAATTATAGTGTTCTATCTACATTTTCTTTTTTTTATTCAGGTTAGTCTTGTTTTAAGTCTTAATGATGATATTGATCTATCTATATATAATTGGGGTAGAAATTGTAAAGTTTAAGGCTTAAACTATACAATTTCTACCCCAATTATATATAGATAGAACAATATGCATCTTTAATACTTAAAACAAGACTAACCTGAATAAAAAAAAGAAAATGCAGATAGAACACTATAATTCTCAGGTGACGAAATGTCAAAAATGTCACATACCTAATGTCAAAAATGACATTTAGCAAATGCTAAAAATGACATTTAGCAAATGCCAAAAATGACATTTAGTAAATGCCAAAAATGACATTTGGCAAATGTCAAAAATGCCAGAGGAACCAAATGTCAAAAATGCTAGATAAACCAAATGCCAAAAACTCTTGACGTCCGTCATTTGGGTCGGGTTCGTTTGGCGTCGTACCGATAATAGGATTGCTATATTTATTCTCCCCCCGGAGCACCCGCTGACTAGCTCAATACATGCTGAAAAACTTGTCGACTATCTCGCCGAGGGGCAGGGTCTGCTCCTTCTCGGCGACCGGCTTGATTTTGCTCCTGATGTCGCGCCACTCGCGCATCTTCTGGCTGTACAGGTTCATGCTGTGCACGTCGCACAAGGTCGAGTAGACGTTTATCAGGCCGCGATAGTCGTACTCCAGGCCGGAGTACGACTCCCCGAACAAATTCAGGTTGATTTCTATCGAACGCATGTACAGCTTCTCCGCGTCCTGGTGCCTCTTCATGTGGTAGTTGTACAGGCTGGCCAAGTGGCCTATGCTCAAACCTACCTCGTAATCCTCTTTTCCTGCGAAAACAACAACACCATCGTCAGGGTTTTTCTCCTCGTTTCACTGAAAAAGTAGCGCAAAACTTACCTAGCAACTCTTCCTTGATCGCAATCGCTCTTAAATGCATCAGTTCCGCCTCCTTGTTCCTCTTCATGCTCTGATACAAGCGCCCCATGTTCCCGTAATGCTTCGCAGTTTGGACGTTTTTTTCTCCGAACGCTTTCAGTGATAACTCCAGCGCCGTCTTGTGCAGCTGCTCCGCCTCCTTCAGGAAGGAGTCCTGCAATTTCGGGTTGTGGGCTTCGTCGAGGGCTTGCTCTTCCAAGATCAAGGCCTTTACTCTTTTCACGGAGGAGAGCATCAGGTGGTCCCTGGGCAGGATGTTGTCCATGATGCGGATGGATTTTTCAGAGTGATCCCTGACGAATTAAAATGCAATGTTACACAGTAACCCAATAAAACATGTCAAACAGCAGGGATATATCTGGTTGAACAAAAAATAACAAATGGCTTAAATCCACCAAATTGTCCTAAAACTTCCCTTCCTTCTACTATGAACTATCTAAATTATCATAAAAATGTTATAAAAGTGTTAAAAAGTAGTAGAAAATGTCAAATCTCATATGATGATGGGGAATGTCAAAGCAACAGATCAATAATTGCAAACGTCAGAAATGGCAGATTGCAAATTTTCAATGACAATTGACGAATGTCAAAAATGACAGGTGGCATATGTCAAAAATAAAAAAATGACAAATGACAAAAGTTACGGATTCAAAAAATGACAGATGGGAAATGTTAAAGTAACAGGTCAAAAATGGCAAATGTAAAAATGACAGATTGCAATTATTAAATGACAGTTGAAGAATGTCAAAAATTATACAGATAGCAAATGTCAAAAATAACAAATTTCAAAAGTGACAGATGTCAAAAATGGCAAATTGCAAAAATGACAAATTGCAAAAATGACAGATGGCAAATGTCAGGAGTGACAGAGGCCAAAAATAACAAAAGTCAATAATGACAGATGGAAAATGTAAAAATAAAAGATGGCATATGTCAAAAGTAAAATATGTTAAAATTAAAATGCCAAAAGTGACATATGTCAAAAGTGACATTTGTCAAAAGTGACAGATGTCAAAAATGACCGATAAAAAAATTACAGATGGCAAATGTCAAAAGTCAATAATGACAGTTGGCAAATATAAAAAGCAACATGGGTTATATATAACCCATGTTGCTTTTTATATTTGCCAACTGTCATTATTGACTTTTGTCGTTTACCATTTTCAATCTGCCATTTTTAAAATTTGGCATCTGTCATTTTTGACATTTTCCATTATAATGGAAAATGTCAAAAATGACAGATGCCAAATTTTAAAAATGGCAGATTGAAAATGGTAAACGACAGATGATAAATGTCAAAAATGACGGATGCCAAATTTTAAAAATGGCAGATTGCAAATGGTAAAAGACAGATGATAAATGTCAAAAATGACAGAAATGTCAAAAATGATACATGTCAAAAATGACAGGTGGCAAATGTCAAAATAACACAGGTCAAAATGGGGTAGTTAAATTTTTTCTGACCTATACTTTTTATGGTTTTATTCAAGGCGTTTAGTAATTTTAAACATTTTTGTGAAATCGGAATTTCAATTGAGTTTACCGTTTTCGAGATATTTACAAAAAAAAGTCTCCTTATTACGTCACTAGGCTATTGACAACGTTGCCAGCTTTTTCTATGGTGTTTAGTTTAAGATTCTTACGATAGATGGCGCCACGTTATAATATTTTAGTTTTAAAACTACTTGATCTAAATTTTAGTTGAGGAGAAGAAGAAGAATTGATTTTTTGACGTTTCTTTTTTTCGGGTTATGTTTTTTTTTAAATTTAGATTATTGAAAATCAATGTTATTGTTAAGTTATTTGTAATTGATATTAGATAAGTGATTTATTAATAACGGACTCCAAAGCAGAGGAATCTTGTGGAATGGTTGGTTACATTGAACATTGGAGCTTTTAAACAAATAAAGTAAGTACCTATAATTATAATCATATTTTGTCGTAAATGCATTTCATTAGTATAATGCCTAGTTCTTTATATTCTTTTAGATATATCTTGGACTTTAAAATATCAAACAGTAATAAGAATTTGGTGACCATCTGTTTGAATAATTTTAATAAAAATGTCTATTTGTAGACCCTGCAGTATCTTTACCTACCATGTACGTTATTGCAGCAATATTTAAACCAGAATTGTCGAAAAGTACAAAAATGTACTCTAGAGCATAGTATCTTCGAACAGTCCAAAAGTTTGTCATACATTTTTTAAATCTTACAAAAGGTTTTGATGCTCATCATCAGGGATGCAAGTTTTATAAAAAACTATACACAAATATCATAAATACCATTGTTAACTTACATTTACTGTTATTTTTTGTAAATTTATTTCATTCATTTTCAGCTTTATTTTGCCACTTTTTTCTATGAAATATATTAAACTCTGCTTTAGACAGTTATTAGGTACCTATTTATTACATTTTATTAGGTTTCACACGGTGTTTCAATGTGTAAACCTATCAATAAAACTTTTACTTTCAGAATCTCTTCTTCTTCTTTCACTCAACTGACAGTGACAGTATTTGTACATAACCTCTTCGGGTATTTTCTGACATAACCGAATGAAATCATTGACAAGACAACTTGACAACAGGGTAATTTTCAACCAATAGAAATCTTGGAATGTTGGTCACATGGTGGGGTTTGTGACGTCATAAAAATTTATATTTTTTGTAAATATCTCGAAAACGGTAAACTTAATTGAAATTCTGATTTCACAGAAATGTTTAATATTACAAAACGCCTTGAATAAAACCATAAAAAGTATAGGTCAGAAAAAATTTAACTACCCCATTGGCAGATGGCAATTATTAAATGACAGATAGCAAAAGTCAAAAATAATAAATGTCAAGAATGAAATGAAATGAAAAATGGCAGGTGGCAAATGTCCAAAGTAACAGATGTTAAAAATGACAGATGCAAAATTTTAAAAATGGCAGATTGCAAATGGTAAACTACAGATGATAAATGTTAAAAATGACAGATGGAAAATGTCAAAAATGATAAATGTCAATAATGACAAACGTCAAAAATGACATGACAAATGTCCAAAGTAACAGATGTCAAAAATGACAGATCCCAAATTTTAAAAATGGCAGCTTGTAAATGGTAAACGACAGAAGATAAATGTCAAAAATGGCAAATGTCAACAACGACAAAAGTCAAAAATGATAAATGTCAAGAATGAAAAACGTCAAAAACGACTGGTGTCAAATGTCAAAAAAATCAAAGATGACATTTGAAAATGCCAAGTTTAATTAAAATGTAATGTTACAGTAATCCAATAAAACATGTCAAATAGCAGGGATATATCTTGTTTAACAAGTAACAACAAATGGCTTAAATCCGCCAAATTGTCCTAAAACTTTCTTCCCTATCTAAAGTATTATAAAAATGTTATAAAAGTATATCTGTATATCTGTTAAAATGTCCTAAAACAATCTCAAACCGTGTTAGAATGTCCTAAAAAGAAACAAAATTGCTTACCTTGCTGATGTGAACCGGCCGGAGCTGTACTCGTGGACGTACAACGCGTAGGCCATGTCCTCGTGCGCCAAGGCCACGTGGATGTTGTTCCTCTCGAAGACCTCTTTCCTGATGTCGAGAGCCTTCTTGTAGATCTTGACGCTCTCGTGTATGGAATCGGAGTTGAGCAGGTAGAAGCCGTAGTCGATGAGGGTGTCGCTGTAGCGCGGGTGCTGGTCGATCTTGTAGAGCTCCTGCGCCATGTTGACCGCCTGCCGGACCAGCAGGCCGGCCAGGTTGAAGCGGCGCTTCACGACGCACGTCTTGGCCGTCTGGCGCAGGATCTCGATTATCACTCGCGTGGGCAGGTCGTTTTTCAGGAGCTTCAGGGCTTCGATCGCCCATCTGAATCCCTTTCGAATATAAATAACATTAAACATTATTCGAGTTTTTTTTAACAAAAAATATAGCTACCTCATCATATTCGGACCTCCAAGTATAATAAACGGAGTAATTCGTGTATAAGCTAGCTAAGTTCGGCAACGCGTTCAATTTTTTTAAATCTTCGACTGTTTCCTGCGATGATCTGAAAGTAGCTTCGGCCGATACGAACTCGCAGTAAATCGCTTCTGCATAAATTTTCCTAAAAATTAATTACAAATTGCTTTTTATTTTTAAAGCAGCTTCTGGATGAGGATTTAGCATAGTAAAACCGACCGATCGACTCGAGATGGAATTTAGTGTGAAAATATGTTTTAAATATCAGGAGAGTATGAAGTCGCATTTTTAATGGGATAAATTTAAAGAATGATAGAAAATAGTAGAAAAAATTTGCACAGTAGTCCAAAATTAAAAAATTGTGGCAAAAATTCGCACAGTGGAACGATTAAAAATTTTGAGAAAAATTATTAGAATTAAATATTTTTTTTAATTTCAACAATCTTAAAAAATTTCAAAATGTTCAAAAATTTACAAAAATGACAAAAATTATTTCACAAATTGCACACGAGTTTTTGACATATGTGATCTGTAATTTTTGTAATCATTTAATAATTGCAATCTGACATTTTGACATTTCTTTCAATCTGTCACTTGGTCATTAAAAATTTGCAATCTGTCACTTTTGACATTTGCCATCTATTATTTTTGACATTTGCCAACTGTCACTTTTGAAATTTGCCATTTAGGGAAAAATTCGTAAAGTAAAATAAATATAAAAAAAATCCAAAATGTCAAAAATTTAAATTTTTTAACTTTTCAAAATGCCATGGAGGTAAATTTAGTTCTATCGCATTATTTTGGAATATTAAACCTAGTATATAAAATAAGATTGGACAAATTTAAAAAAAAAATTCATTTTAACAATTTTCAAAATTTCGAAAATTCAAATCTGTTGATTAAAATCCCAACATGGTCTTTATAGTTGTTTTTTATGTATACGAGTGTTTAGGTTTGTTTTTTAGCAAATGTCAAAAATGACAGATGGCAACAAAAGTCAAAAATACTAGATTTAAAAACAAAAAAGACATATGTCAAAAGTGACATATGTCAAAAGTGGCAGATGTAAAAAATGACAGATTTCAAAAATGATGGATGTCAAAAATGACAGATGTCAAAAATGACAGCGGTCATAAATGACAGATGTAACAAATGGCTGATGTCATAAATGGCTGATGTCATAAATGACAGATGTCAAAAATAACCTATAAAAAATGATAAGAAACCTTAAAATTACAAGGTTTTAAGTGCAGCTGAACGGTTAAGTGAATGACTTCTCTACAGTCAAAAATGTCATGTCAAAAATGTCAAATTCCTAATGTAAAATTACAGATTGCAAATGTCAAAAATGACAAAAGAAAAATGTCAAAAATGACAGATGGCAAATGTCAAGAGTGACAAATGTCAAAAATAACAAAAGTAATATATGACAGATAGAAAATCTTACAAATTAAAAAATGACATGTCAAAAGTGACAGATGACAATTTTCAAAAATGACGGATGGCAAATGTCAAGAGTGACAGATATCAAAAACGAAAGATGACAAATGTCAAAAATAGCATATGTCAAGAATGACAAATGTCAAAAATGACATGGCAAATGTCCAGACATGTCAAAAGTGACAGATGTCAAAAGTGAAAGATATCAAAAGTGGCAAATGTCAAAAGTGACAGATGTCAAAAGTGACAGATAGCAAATGGTGGGAGTGACAGATGTCAAAAATAACAAGTCAAAAATACTAGATGTAAAAATAAAAAAGACATGTCAAAAGTGACAGATGTCAAAAGTAATAGATGTCAAAAATTGCAAATGTCAAAAGTGACAGATGTCAAAAAAGACAGGTGGCAGATGTCAAAAATGATATTTAGAAAATGACTCGGCAAATGTTTTACGTTTAGGGTTGTATTTGGGGGTTCTGCTTACTTGTGATAGCAGTCCAGGAGCTTCCTTAGCAAGTAGACGTCGGGCTTGTGCTTCTTGCACAGGGCCTCCGTGACGTTCAGCACCTTGATCGAGTGGTTGTACCAGCCGCCCTCGTTGAAGAAGCTGCCCAAACGCAGCCCGACGTCGACGACGTGGTGCAGGTCGGCGCCCCCGCGCGTGTACTTCTCGTAGCTGCCGATCAGGTCCTCGCACACGACTGATCCGTGATCGATGAGGAACTGGAAGCTCTTCAGCAGCTTCGGCCGCTTGTGCTTCACCGCCAGCATGCGCGTGAACACCTCGAGCTCGCTGAACTCCACCGCCAGCAGGCAGAGCCGCTTCTCCGTAAACATCTGAGAACCATTTTTGTTAACTTCCTATTTGTGCATTTTTTCATATTCGACAAATTTCTATATCTTTTATTTATCATCAATTATCAGTTGTTTAAAGCATTTTTAACGTTTTCATCATTAAATATCCAAGTTTTCGAGGTGAGATAAGAAATATTAAGTTAAATATTAATATATTAATATTAAATAGATAAATTACGCATTTAACTACTGCAGTTGCCACTTATTGTTATTATTATTTTATGTGCAGACATACAATTAATTATATAATTTTATGTTTACAGATATAAATAGTTCTATAATTTTTATTATGTATTCATATTTTTAATTGTAACATACAAGTTTCTTGCATTAATTTTATGTGTACACATTTAATTAATTGTAAAATAAAAATGATTGTATACACAAGAAATGGGGTAGTTAAATTTTTTCTGACCTATACTTTTTATGGTTTTATTCAAGGCGTTTTGTAATTTTAAACATTTCTGTGAAATCGGAATTGCAATTGAGTTTACCGTTTTCGAGATATTTACAAAAAAAATCTCCTAATTACGTCACTACGCTATTGACAACTTTGCCAGCTTTTTCTATGGTTGCCAGTGTGTTTAGTTTAAGATTCTTACGATAAATGGCGCCACGTTATAATATTTTAGTTTTAAAACCACTTGATCTATAATTTTAGTTGAGAAGAAGAAAAAGAATTGATTTTTTGACGTTTCTTTTTTTCGGGTTATGTTTTTTTTAAATTTAGATTATTGAAAATCAATGTTATTGTTATGTTATTTGTAATTGATATTAGATAAGTGATTTATTAATACCGGACTCCAAAGCAGAAGAATCTTGTGGAATGGTTGGTCACATTGAACATTGGAGCTTTTAAACAAATAAAGTAAGTACCTATAATTATAATTATATTTAAAAAATTGAACCTACACCTCGCCAAAGATTTTTGTTTTGAATGCGTTCCACCAACTTCAAATACCGACAGACAGCTGTTTCGACCTTTATTGGGTCTCATCAGTGTCGGGCAACTTGGTGTAGTGGAACACAATCAAAACAAATTACTCCCTCAGCTTATATGCTCGGTTGTTAAGTCAACAGAGGCGAGATGTAAGAACATCAGGTGATCCTCACCGTCAAACGACGTGGCCTTTGCTGCAATCGGTACATACTATGCAACCGGGACTGCACACAGCAATTGTATCACAGATACTAATATGGCCTAAAGGAATCTAGAATTAACCCAAACGGGCTAAACATTAAGGTAAACATTCAATTTTCTTAGTTTCTTTAAGAAACTTTCTTGACCCATCACTGGTACTATTCATAAGAAATAAGAAAAAATTGAACCTACACCTCGCCAAAGATTTTTGTTTTGAATGCGTTCCACCAACTTCAAATACCGACAGACAGCTGTTTCGACCTTTATTGGGTCTCATCAGTGTCGGGCAACTTGGTGTAGTGGAACACAATCAAAACAACCGAGCATATAAGCTGAGGGAGTAATTTGTTTTGATTGTGTTCCACTACACCAAGTTGCCCGACACTGATGAGACCCAATAAAGGTCGAAACAGCTGTCTGTCGGTATTTGAAGTTGGTGGAACGCATTCAAAACAAAAATCTTTGGCGAGGTGTAGGTTCAATTTTTTCTTATTTCTTATGAATAGTACCAGTGATGGGTCAAGAAAGTTTCTTAAAGAAACTAAGAAAATTGAATGTTTACCTTAATGTTTAGCCCGTTTGGGTTAATTCTAGATTCCTTTAGGCCATATTAGTATCTGTGATACAATTGCTGTGTGCAGTCCCGGTTGCATAGTATGTACCGATTGCAGCAAAGGCCACGTCGTTTGACGGTGAGGATCACCTGATGTTCTTACATCTCGCCTCTGTTGACTTAACAACCGAGCATATAAGCTGAGGGAGTAATTTGTTTTGATTGTGTTCCACTACACCAAGTTGCCCGACACTGATGAGACCCAATAAAGGTCGAAACAGCTGTCTGTCGGTATTTGAAGTTGGTGGAACGCATTCAAAACAAAAATCTTTGGCGAGGTGTAGGTTCAATTTTTTCTTATTTCTTATGAATAGTACCAGTGATGGGTCAAGAAAGTTTCTTAAAGAAACTAAGAAAATTGAATGTTTACCTTAATGTTTAGCCCGTTTGGGTTAATTCTAGATTCCTTTAGGCCATATTAGTATCTGTGATACAATTGCTGTGTGCAGTCCCGGTTGCATAGTATGTACCGATTGCAGCAAAGGCCACGTCGTTTGACGGTGAGGATCACCTGATGTTCTTACATCTCGCCTCTGTTGACTTAACAACCGAGCATATAAGCTGAGGGAGTAATTTGTTTTGATTGTGTTCCACTACACCAAGTTGCCCGACACTGATGAGACCCAATAAAGGTCGAAACAGCTGTCTGTCGGTATTTGAAGTTGGTGGAACGCATTCAAAACAAAAATCTTTGGCGAGGTGTAGGTTCAATTTTTTCTTATTTCTTATGAATAGTACCAGTGATGGGTCAAGAAAGTTTCTTAAAGAAACTAAGAAAATTGAATGTTTACCTTAATGTTTAGCCCGTTTGGGTTAATTCTAGATTCCTTTAGGCCATATTAGTATCTGTGATACAATTGCTGTGTGCAGTCCCGGTTGCATAGTATGTACCGATTGCAGCAAAGGCCACGTCGTTTGACGGTGAGGATCACCTGATGTTCTTACATCTCGCCTCTGTTGACTTAACAACCGAGCATATAAGCTGAGGGAGTAATTTGTTTTGATTGTGTTCCACTACACCAAGTTGCCCGACACTGATGAGACCCAATAAAGGTCGAAACAGCTGTCTGTCGGTATTTGAAGTTGGTGGAACGCATTCAAAACAAAAATCTTTGGCGAGGTGTAGGTTCAATTTTTTCTTATTTCTTATGAATAGTACCAGTGATGGGTCAAGAAAGTTTCTTAAAGAAACTAAGAAAATTGAATGTTTATAATTATATTTTGTCGTAAATGCATTTCATTAGTATAATGCCTAGTTCTTTATATTCTTTTAGATATATCTTGGACTCTAAAATATCAAACAGTAATATGATACCTCGTAATAAGGAAGATAGGTACCATAGATAACAAAGGTACTTAATGAATTTGGTGACCATCTTTCACTCAACTGACAGTGACAGTATTTGTACATAACCTCTTCGAGTATTTTCTGACATAACCGAATGAAATCATTAACAAGACAACTTGACAACAGGGTAATTTTCAACCAATAGAAATCTTAGAATGTTGGTCACATGGCGAGGTTTGTGACGTCATAAAAATTTATATTTTTTGTAAATATCTCGAAAACGGTAAACTCAATTGAAACTCTGATTTCACAGAAATGTTTAATATTACAAAACGCCTTGAATAAAACCATAAAAAGTATAGGTCAGAAAAAATTTAACTACCCCATTGAATAGTTTTATCTATTTTGCGTTCAAAATGAATTCATTATAACACCGCTTTAGGTGCTGTAATGAGATACTTTATCCAACCCAAAATTTTGATTTTATATGTTGGCTATACTTTAAGCAGCATAATATTTTGCATTTTGGTTATAATGTTTTTATGTTTTTTCTAGTACCTACTTTTCTGGCAATAAATTTAGTTTAGCACCAAAGAAAATCATTTTTTCTTCTATAACATTAACAGCCGCTTTTTGACATTAACTGTCAAAACAATGACTGTGATACCAACTATCTAAAGTAAAATTCGATTAAATTAAATTTAAGGTACAAAATTAATTTTTTTATAGAATTTTTGCAAAATGGATAAAATAGCATAAAGAACTCATGTCATAAGACCTTTTGTCGCACTCGTCCATTACGAAACTCGCTCCTTCGACGATCGTTTTATAAATTGTCCGCGTGCGACAAAATGACGTCTTATGACATTATTTCTTTAATATACTATAAAAATCTTGTTTCAAAAAAATGTTTTTAGTCTCACAATAATTCCAATATAAATTTTAAATTAAAAAAATAAAGAAACGCATACGAATTAAAAATGAACCAAATTTAAATGACGCAAATATTAATTCAACTAATAAAATAATATGTTTTCAAAATATTTGTCGGGTAAAATATTTAATTGTTACAAAAAAATTAATATGTATCAAAAAAAAATAATTATTATTATGCTTAGACATAATAATAATTCGCTATTTTTCTTATCTGTTTCCATTAACGATTAAAAAGTAAAATGGTGTGCTACAGAGGTGAATATTTACGGTGGTATTTCCATTTGAAGAGTATGACAAATAAATAACAGAAGGCCCTGGCAGAAAATTCAGCGCTACCAATGTAGTAAAAATAAAACGTTGTACCTATTTTAATTAACAAATTAATTTCCCATATTAAGAACCAAATCCATAATACACATGAAAATAAACAATTTAAAAATTATACAATAGGTAATGCTCCAAATGCCCAACATAATTTAAATTATTTGAAAGTTAATAATAATACATAATATTCAAAAAATTACGAAATATATTATGATCATTGATAAACCTCTTAATTGCTTTTTAATTGTTATATTTCAAGGTTTTAAATTTGACCAGACAGTAAACAACAATATGCTTTATTTTTATTCATAAAACATTGCGTTTCCTTTGTACGTCTGATAAATGTATTGATATAGAGTATTTAAGTATCTTACTTGGCTGTTTATAAACAAATCACGACTTTATTTATACGAAATTTTATTTGATATGGGGTTTTTTATAGACCAAAGATTTATAAGTTAGTTAGTCTATTGAACCTGATAAATATTTAATTTGTATTGCATTCAATGTTAATTAACCAATAATTAATACAGCCTTTTTATTTGGATATTTTTAAACTTGTATTTGTACTTTTGGGATAAAAAATCACCAAATGAGTCAAGTTATTTTTCAAGTAAAGGGGCTCTGACTTCTTTATACTTGTAAATATGTTTTTTATACATAAATATATAACGAAAAACCCAAATATGTAACTTATAATTAAAATTCTGGTGACAAGTCGAAAAAGGCACTACCAAGGTCAAGTCAAGTCACCTGTGATATTGTTTACTTGAAACAAACAGCCTCTTTGATTGTCACCGAAACATTGACAACATTTGGTGAGAATTTCAGTGCTACTTATAAACAGGAATGGAGATATGTTACCTTGTAGTAGAAATCAAAGAGGACATTGTTGGGCAAACCTCTGAAATCCTTCTTGTAAAATTTGCACACAGTGACGCAATCGGACACTGCCACCGCGATGCATATGTCGTACAATTGTCGCGGCACGTTCGACATTTCCACACTGAATTTCCTAGAGCTCGACCGTCCGTCACCGAAAACAACGGAATTATCAAAACAACCGACACCAACAAACAGCTGAGCACTCCGAATGGTTTCCCTTTTATCTGACTGACGATGACATAGGGAATTTTCGCTTTCTCAAATTTTCCGACAATTTTGACAGATCGAGAACACCAAACTCGTCTAGTTCGGCCACCCGCAAGAAGATGGCGCTACGATATCACTGTGTCACATACTTCCACACATATACCGCTTATTGCCTATATTTTGTATAGATGACCTTGTTCCCGTTTCTAAGGGGAAATTTGTTCTCGTAGTGTGCCATTTTCGTTTATGCGCATAGTCAGTTCATAAGTGGGGGATTTAAAATATATGACATCACGTAACATTAGATAGAGAAATTAATACGTCCCCTTATGATACGAATTGTCAACTAAATAAAATTTAGGTTATATAAAATTTTTCTAAATTATTTGGTTCCATAGCCTGGGTTAAGCTTACAAACATTTTTGTGATTTGGCTTTATAAAAAGTAAAAAGTGGCATAATATGCATATTATGTAAAATCCACTAAAATCTCGTAAAAACAATGGAAAAAAACAATGCCAAAACAATTGTATACAACAGAAAACAAACAAAATTGATAATTATAATAACCATCTACATATTTATATGTCTATCATAAAAATATTTTGACGTTAATCGTGATCAAAATACGATGTTGCCAAATTCTTGCTTTTATAAAAATGGCATTATAAAATCTAAAATATCATCATCTTGTGAGTTTATTATTGTTAAATGCTTTTTTCATACAATTTATATCCAATTTATTAAAAAGTATTTATTATACTTCTTAAATAGGGACAAAAATATGTTATTTTTTTTAAAACCGGCAATGCAGCTGACGCATGCGCCTCAATGCCCGCTACCCTGTGAGAACATTTCCCCTACTTTACCCCCACGAAATGGAAACAGTCTCAGTTAGAAATGATTTGTATATGTGTGGAAGTATGTGCACTGTGTCGCCATCTATCTATTATAGAAGTATAAAAGCACAACATTTTTGTTCTTTAGGTTGGCAACTCCTGCGAAGCTGTGAAGAAGAAGAAGAAGAAGCCGACATTGTTATATGGTGCCTACTTTTTCTGCGATTTGTGGATGTTGTTAAATAGCGTTAAAAACAGCTTTCGTAGGAGTATCGACGATTAAAGAAATTGATCTTAATAATTGGTAAGTTTTTGATGGGCTTATCTGGATAATTTACGAGAAATTTACGAAACAAGTCAAATTTGTCAGCGATGCTAATACAATTTTGATGAATTCATTGAAAAGTCACTTTAATAAATAACTTTTCCTGCGAATCGATGCTCAAGAAGTTAAAGAGTATAATTTGTCTAAATATTTTAACAAATCAATAGGTGGCCATTTTTGTGTTGTGCTTGTGGCGGCAAATTTAAATTTTCCAAGGGTAATTTAATAAAATGTAAAGTAGGATTTATAGAAGGTAAGTTGTTGTAAAAAATACCATAACCACCTTCTTAGTGGTTTATGTTGTATTAATAATTAATTTACTTTTCCAGAATATTATTTTTATTGACGAAGATAGTTAACGATCATTTAGTGTTAAGTGATTTTGTGAAATGGAACCAGCTGCCCCTGGTACGGAGGACGAGATTCCCTATACTGCCGGGCTCACAAAGCAGGTACTTATTTGTTCTTTTCTATGTTGTTTCTTTATTATTTATTATGTATTTTAGTAATAAGGTAAGTATCTTTTAAGATCTATATACTCTATGATATTAAGAGTAATTTAATCTTTACTTAAAAGGTAATTATAACTGGGTTTTGATAACTTTTTGTTGATTAAATAAGAAGTTATCCAAATGTTAAATATTGTTGTTTATACAATATTTATCATATACTACTGGTGTATCAATTAGTTGATATTAGCCTTACAAAAAAAATTAAAATTTAATTTGCGCTTACAACCATTGAACATTCTATTTGAATGTTCCTGTTTGATTCTTTTTATTTATTAAAGTTGTGTGGTTGTTCTTCACAACTTTTTTTTAACTTAGTGTGTGAGAAAGTGGTCTTAAATAAGTGGTAACTGCTCAAAACTTATTAGTTTTTCAAGTTTGTTTATTTTTGAGAACACTAATAAATTCTTAAAACTAATTGGATTGTTGTGAATAAAACGAAATTTGTTCAATTCTTTTATTTTCCTTATTTGAGATATTGAGCAAACTTTTACCATTTTATATAATTCGTGGCTTTTAGATTTTCTCTTTTAGAATCTTTATTAAGTTATAAAAACTTCGCGTAATTCGTAACCGGTTTTTCCTCAATTATATGTATAAGATTTTAGTTTATTTATATTATTAGTAAAGAATTAGTAAAGCAGGAGAGCTATTCTCTGCATTATTTTAGAAAAAATCTTTTTAACGCCATCTTCTGGACTATTGAGGTACCAGTATGCTGAAGTATTCAATACCCTTTTATTTTTACGCATAGTGGTTTATATCATACATAATATTATTATGCATGAAGAAATTTTAAAAATTATCAATAAATTATGTATTTAATTAAGGGACAATAACTTTTGTAGGTACTTCTGTATTATATGTTTTGGGTTTTGAACCTTATTTTTGGGGAAAATATTGTTTTTTTAAGAGCTGCAAGGTCAGTTAAATATCAGAAAAGTTGCGGAATTAAAAGCATATTAACTTGAAATTTATGTATTGTAAAAAAATCCAGTGGTTCTCAAATTATTTGAAAAAAACAAAACCTTTGTTATTCCTGAGAAATTTTTTGCTACTATGTTTTGAGTTAGGTGCCACCACCATCTTTTGTTTCTATAATGGCCGCGATTACTACTTGATCTAATCATGTAAAATTTCAATATTGCGGCCATAGGAAAAACAAATGGTATCTCATAATCCGGTTGGCGAAAAAAATCACAAATTGGATGAAAATGTAGATAATTTTGTATGGTTACAAGTGAAACTTACTTTTTTTCAAAATTCTTGGGATTAAAGAAGATGTAACGATTTTTGGTTTTGACAAGATTTAAGTTTTTTTCAAATTATTTGCTGATCTTTTTCCTAGTTTTTAAATGCCATTTTAATATACTTGCAATTGCGCAAGTTTTGTTTAATTTAACCGAACTTGTAGCTCTTCAAATAAAAAATATACCTATACATAGAACACTAGACTGGGCCAAAAAAATCAACTATTTTTTTTTAAAGTATATCGAAAATATGGTTTGGGGTGACAAAAAAAATTATTGTGAAAGTTTGAGTCCATAATATTAATATTAAGAGGTCCATCATCACAATTTTAATTTTTTTTCCTCAGCAAGTTTTAGGCTCAGAACTCCCAAACCATTGAGTTTAACAAAATTGACTTGAAAATATTTTTTTAAGAAAATTAAATGAAATTTTCCGTCAGATGAACCGTTTCCTTAAAATCATGCCTTAAAAATTGGTATAGTTTTACATTTTGAACTTTTAAATTGGAATTTTGTAATTCATGTAAAAATCAGTACCCATAAAAAACCGATAAATATTCTTATGGAAAATCAAATGGTTTACAAAAGAAGCCTCTCAACATTTTTGGCTAAATTCACTCAATCAAAAGTTATTCAAGGTTAAAATTTCGTTTTGACTTCAAATTTAACCTTGATGAAGTGAATTTAGCCAAAAATGATAAAAGACTTTTTTTGTAGAGCATTCGATTTTCCATAAGAATATTTATCGTTTTTTTTTCAGGGTACTGATTTTTACTTGAATTACAAAATTCCAAAGTTAAAAGATCAAATTGTAAAACTATACCAATTTTTAAGGCATGATTGTAAGAAAAGGGTTCAGCTGACGGGAAATTCCAATCAAACCTTTTTTGTGGAGCATTAAATTTTCTTCAAAAAATATTCTTAAGTCAATTTTGTTAAACTCAATGATTTGGGAGTTCTGAGACAAAAACTCGCTCAGGAAAAAAAAATCTAAAATTGCGATGATAGACCTCTTATGGACTCAAACTTTCACCATAATTTTTTTTTGTCACCACAAACAATATTTTCGATATACTTTCCAAAAAAAAAAATAGTCGATTTTTTTGGCCCAGTCTATAGAACACACTGTATAGAAAGCCTAGCAAAGTAAATAAATCCGGAATATTTTCTTTTAAAGCAAAATGTATTGTTTTAGGTAGGAATAACGAAATATTTTTTTTTATGTTTTCCTAATTAATGTTAATCTATTTTAAAACTTTTTTACTTCTTTTGGAAGTCGGCGTTTAACAGTATTAGAGGAAAATGATTTTTACATAGCCGGATTGTGTTTTGTACGATAACTAATAGAGGACTCTGTTAGGCAAACGAGGAGGAACGCCTGCTCAACTTGAAAGCCTTCCTGCCCAACGGACAGTATGGCAGGGTTTTCGAGCTCAACTACCTCGAGCTCAAGAACAACGGCACCCAGCACTGGTTCTGCAACGCGTGCAAATGCCCCGTCATGGGGCGCGTGTACCAGCACGAGCTGGGCAAAAGGCACTGCATCAACATGGCGCGCGGGCACCAGCGCGAGGGCGACCCGGCCGCCCCCCCGCCCCCCACCAAGGAGGACCACCACCAGACCATACAGGTCGCCCCCGGCGAGCCGCTCCCCCCCGGCTTCGAGGGCCAAGTCGAGGAGACCACTCTCATACAGGTAAGTTTCAAACTTGAAATATTTCATTTAGTTGGAAAAGTGAAATTTTTAAAAATTTCAAATGAAATTTTCATTCCGAAAATTTCAACATTGCCTGTGAAACTTTCAGAAATTTCATTGAAAGTTTCGCAATTTACTGAAAATTTCGCATAAATTTCACATGCGGCCTCCCCTGGGACCTTTAATAATAATAATTTACAACAGATTCCGAATCGACCAATAAGAACGAGTTATCAATCGTCTGGGCGTTTTTGTTTAGTTCGGCTTGGATTTGAATGCACTATAAGTAATTATTGTTACTTATATGCATAAATTAATTTAAATAATTTAATTCAGTTACCAATTTAATTTGTAAATTAAATCAGACTTTAATTTTTTTTTAAAAGTCATGATTAATTTAAACTTTTACTTTTGCTATAATTGCATCGGAAAACGGATAAAAAATGCCTTTGGCTCATAAAATTTTATGAATTTTCTTCAATTTTCGTAAAATTTCAGTAAAATATTTAAAAATAATAAATATATATAAATATAAAACAATGAAAGTGGCACAATCTCATTAGCTTACCAAAAAGTGCTATATCTCTTTTAGTTTTAGTAATTTTAAAAATATTTTAAAAGAAAATCTCAAGAAATTTGTGGTAAACATAGGTATTTACTATTTATATTATTGGTGCAGGGGCCCACAGAGGGGTAGGAGGTAAGAGAGGCAATTTGCCATGGTCCCCGAGTGGGCTTATTTCAATATTAATATATTACACTTAAAGTGATTGAAATTTATTGAAAGTTTCAATAAATTTCATGAAATTTCAGAAATTTAGGAAAATTTAATAAACTTCATAAATGTCATGAAAATTTCAAGTGAAATTTCAAGTACAAGTAAAAAGTGAAATTTTCCCAACCCTTCATACAGGTGGGCGCCGATTTTTACGTGACACCCCATGTAACCCCCTTCCCCCTAGTAAAACGTTACGTAACCACCAAGTGACCATTTTTACCTAAAAGACAATTATAAGCAAAGACCGGATTTTAGGCCGTTAAAAATTGGAAATTAGGAGACTTAAATATGCAATAAAAACCTACATTTTAGGCCGTTTAAGGCCCAAAGTGACAAAAATAGGACTCAACATTGGCGTAACTAGCCTTTTGATCTGTTGTTTTGACTAGGTATCTTTAAAAAAGTAAAACAAATGTTGTCTCCAAAAGGCACAAATAACAATTTTTTTGAACAAACAGTGGAAAGGAAGTAAGTACTACAATGTGATCTTGAGGACGTGTTCAAATATAATTGATGACTGTTTGTACCGCGCATGACCGTTTTGTTGTTATGAAAAGGTACAATTGCTACATACACATTAAGTGTATGTGCGCATGTTGGGCGGGGCTTAAATACGTCACTTGTTGAGTATTTTTAAATCTTTAATTATCTGCTGCTAAAATTCTTGTTTTTGCGATGCTGTTGGATGTTAACTTGCTCTATTTTTTTAACTTGTTGTTTTTGCGTTTAGTGAGGTTCAAATTACTTCTCAGTGTTCAAATTATTGGTATTGCGTTGTGTTAACCTGTTCTGTTTGTTTATTATTGTTTTTGTGTTGCGTTGAAACTTGTTTTGAATGTGTTTTAGTTTGTGACGTGACATTTGCATTTATTAAAATGCGTTGTGGCATATTTGAACAGGTTAACACAACGTAATACATATATGGAAATAAGAATAAAACCTATGAAAACAAAGTAAATAATAATGTTTAACCATTATTTTACAAACTTAATATTATCCATAATTATTTATAATAAATATTTAGATATAACAAAAACACAATTACGCTTTTCATTAGATTTCCACTAGTTTTGTAATTTGTGGTCCTCGTACTCGCCAAGGCCGTCTAGGCGAAATAAGAGCAAGAAAGCAGGGCCTAATTAAAAATAATTTTAGTTTTCGCATTGAAAAAAATATTTTTTCTGAAAAATTAAAAGAGCCTATTTTAGGCTTATAAAAATTTCCTTTTAGGACCCTAAATCAAAATTTCGCCATTTTAGGCTTTTAGGTAAAAACAAAGGGGTGTCAAACGCTTTATTTTTTTAAGTTTAGGATTAAAATCAAGGTCCCAAACAAATGCCTGAAATAGAAACGAAAAGGCATTTTTCCTTAAATCCGGTCCTTGATTATAAGTAATGTTACGTAACGCGTAGTTCGGTAGTTTCAGTCTTCAACAAACAATGTTTTTCTTTGTTTAGGAAAAATTGGACAATTTTCAAGCTGCACCTTTGGTAGCCTTGGAGTATTTACTCGAATTGCAGCACTATGACCCATCGAAGGAACCGTTTTACTTGTGCGTTCTTTGCGATAAAAAGGGGGATCCCAGAACGGTTCTGACACATCTATCGAGCTACAATCACATACAATCGGTAAATAGGTCGCAATACAAAAGGTTTTGTTTCTAAACCCATCGTTTTTTAGTATTTGCAAAAGCATTTCCCGACGTGCTACAGAAAGTTGGCGCCCTACATGACGAAACAGTACAAGCGCGGTTTTCAGAGGGTGCTGGTTAACATAGCCGAAGCTATCGAGCACAAGTTCGGGCGCATGAAACCCGTGCCCATCGAAAAAGACAAGTTCGAAGCCGACGTGTCGCACTACCTGGCGATCATCATGAAAAGTCGACATTTCACCGAAAAAACCGGCCACACGTTCGAAGAACTGGTGCAGCACGAAGAACTCACGAAAGTCTACTACGAAGGTAAAGTAGAAACCACGAATATATGAACGTGACTCATCAGGCACAATCGTACGAAATAATCTATCGAATTTAACGGTCTAGTGCAGTGCTGTTTTAACGGGGGCATAAGTATTTGTAAAAAATCTTGAGTGTAATGTTGGTTGCTATACTTCTGATATATTTGCTTTTAAAGTTAAATTTTAATAATTAACATCTACGATAATTAAATAAAATATAATTTTCTTAGGAACTAATTAATAAATAAACTTTTCTTTTAACTTTAAACGCAAATATTTCAGAATTGGTGACAAAAAACAAAAATGTTTGCGCAGGTCAAGTGAAAGATATTTAAATTATGTGGATATAAAAACAACTTGCGTTAGTTTCACGAAATTTATTAAATATTGACAATTGTTTCGCTACACAGTAGCTTCTTCAGAATGTATTAAACTAATACTAGTACAAAATTTATATATTAAAAATATTCTTGTATTCCAGCCTAGAATTTCTAGGTAAGGATTTTTATACGACATCTACCTGTGTTACATAATATAAACCACTGCCACTACAACGTTTAAAACGATTATTAATCCGTAAACACACACCGTTTATTTAAAGTCCAAAAAACGTACAATAACAATTGCAATGAAGTCCAATAAACATGCAATAACAATTGCGATAAAAACCACTAGCACTACAACGTTTAAAACGATTATTAATCCGTAAACACACAGCAGAAACACGATATGCAAAAACAAAGATCATATGACATATAAAAACAAATGGCCGACGGTAGAGTTGGTTGCCTTACTATGTAATAAAATAAAATAAATTGCCTAAAACACGAACTCTACTGAATTCCAACAAAAAAAAAGTAACAAGCTAGGACACGCGTCATATGTCCATCTTTGTCCAACACCTAGGCAGTTTTACATCACAGATGGCGCATTTTAGACCGGATGCTTAAAAACCTACGTGTGAGTACATTTACCGCTGCATCGAATGTACAAGACAAGTAAAACATTACTGCTAGCATGTCTGAGATATGTTCGGCACCCGATGAGTCACGTTCATATACTATAGTAGTGGATAGTTCGTAAAAACTTAATTTTACGAGTATTATTTTAGCCGAGGTCGCTGCGGACCCTTCGATGGCGCCGGGCGTGGCCTCCATCGCGAAGCCCTTCAAAAAGCGCAGCCCCTCGCCGCCGGTGGTGGCGCGGCCCGTGAAAAAAACCAAGCAACCGCCGCCAAGCAAGTTCCCCAACCCGAAGCAGCAAGAGTACCAGCGCAAGGACGATAAAAACGCCGCGGGTTCGAGTTATCCCGCTAACCCCGCGAAAAGGGAACGCAAGCGCTCTCTGTCGAGCGTCTCGAGCATCTCCAGCAACGAAGACATCGGCGAGTGGTCCGGCAAATACGTCAAGAACAAGGATAGAAAGCAACCGCCTCCGAAGAGGTACTATACTTGGGCGATTTAGAATGGGGGGTGTACTATGCTCCACACCTCAAAGTCCCACCACGTGACCACGTACGGAACGCAGTCTTTTGAAAATTTGGCATTTAAGGCTTTTCAGGTTATGTATCTGTCAAAGTATAGTCAATGAAAGAAATAATATTTATAGTGTTACCGCTTATGTTCAAGCGTTAAAAGTTAATAAATCTTTATAGTATCACAATAACAATGGTTGGTTTAAGAATTTAGGAATATAAATACTGCATCTAATGAAATTCCAAAGTGTAAGGTGCAATATAAGTGATATTTTTGTGCATTGGGTCTACATTTCTCCATAAAATAGTTTTAACTAAACAGCATTTATTAAAAAAAACTTCTCTCTTATGAAATAGGAATATCTGTATCAAAGGTAGGTTAATGTATAAGAACAAAAAATATCATCTAATTTTGTATTTTAAGGTTAGAAAAATCTATTTTGACCATTTAAATAAGTGGATTATTTGAAAGAGTGTGTTAATATGGACATAAAAAAATATAGGTATACTAAATAATTGTTGAATATAGTTCAAATTAAATTGAAGCTTTTATACTTCTAATGACAAAACTTGTGCATACCTCTCGGCATACTTACTTTAAGTTAGATTATAAGAAAAAAAACAATTTTTAGAGAAACTTGCAATGTGAAATTATTTAATACTCCCATGACATGTGATTTATTAAAAAATTTAAAGTTATAATGATTTTTTGATGTAGATCAAATTCAGTCAAAGCTTTTTAACTATTTGTATTGACAAAACTTTATGTAGGTACACTTTAAGCTGGATAAGAAAAACTACCACACTTTTAAATACCATATTATACAGTCTTTTAAATAATCCAAAATACTTATTTATTTTGGTCAAAATAAATTTTTCTAACCTTAAAATAACAAAATTAGATGATATTTTTGTTATAATATATTAACCTACCTTTAATACAGATATTCTTATTCCATAATAGAGAAACTAGATTTTTTTAAATAAATGCTGTTTAGTTAAAATTATTTTATAGAGGAAACCAGATATTTGGACCAAATGCACAAAAATATTACTTATTTGGCACCATACACTTTAGAATTTCATTAAATGCAGTATTTATATTCTTAAATTCTTAAACCATCCATTGTTATTCTAATGTTATAAAGATTTATACATTTTTAACGCCTAAACATAATATTATTTCTTTCGTTGACTATACTTTGACAGATACATAACCTGAAAAGCCTTAAATGCCAAATTTTCAAAAGACTGCGTTCCGTACGTGGTCGCGTGGTGGGACTTTGAGGTGTGGAGCATGGTACATACTTGATTTTCCAGGAACGACAGCAAGCCTCAGTTCCAGCGCAGAAACGAGCCGCCGCCTCAGAGGGACGGCCCGATGCCGTGGCAGAAGTCGAACTACATCCGCAGTCAAGACAAAATAACGGGCGACAGAGGTCGCGACGTCGTGCGAAACGACAAAGTCGACGAGTTCAAAAAACTCTCGAAAGCGATCGAGAACGACATGGGCAAGTCGCTGCTGCACCACGAGAAAAACCCCGAGAAGCATCCGCAGTACAACGACGAGTGGAAGAAGTTTTGGAACAAACGGTGAGAGAATTCATCAGTACTTCGAGACTTGACGTTTTCTTTCAGGTACAAGGAGCTGCAAGCCGAAGGCAAAGACGCGGCCAACTTCGACTTCAAACCGGAATGGATCCAGTTCTGGAACAAGAGGATGATCGAGTTGCACCAGGAAGAAATTAAGTTGAGAAAGGACGCTTTAAGAAAAAGGTACGTACATTTTTTCCCCCTAGACCGGGAAATCAGTGTCACTCCAAACATTTGTCAGTTTCTTCTACTGTGTTTTCCAAATCCATTAGAATTCGGTTTGTGTGTTTTTTGTGTTTGGGTTTTCTAAATTTATTTTATGTTCGTTTAGATTTTCAAGTGTCAAATGTTTATTTTTGGTAACGTTTAGTTTAAACACTATTATGTTGGGGCTTATTTGTTTGACATAATTGTAACTATGACAATTAAGCATTAGGTAAATTTGGTGATGTGAATATACTGGCCCTTAATTTCTATTTGTCGCCAAATCAATCCTTTAAACTTCATCAAAAACGGATGCATGAAAATTAGAACATTTCTTGTCGGGCGATTTTATTGAAAAACGGACAACAGATACATGAAAGTCTAGCTAACTGAGTACAGTTGACGTATTTATTCATCAGGTTGGGCTTGCCGGAAGAGCCTGCCCCGATATGCTTCCGGATCACCGGGAAAGGTAAGGACGGTTCGAAGGACAGCCCGAAGGACTCCAAACCGATGCCGATGGCCGCAAGGCCCGACAACGAAATGGACGACGAAGTGATCGTCATCGAGGACGACAAGTACGTGAAACATCGCGACGACAAGTACAACCGTTCGCAGAGCCCGTGGGAGAGCGAACCCGTGCCGAGGTCCTCGATCGACAGGAACTCGCGCGAGCGAAGGCTCCACAAGAACCCGAGCCCCGCACGGTAAGTTTTGTCGTTGAGTCGTGTTTTTTCATACTGTAGGTTAAGCACGGTGCTGTTCTGAGAGGTGATTTTTGGACTTTCTGTGAAACCTAATTTTTTTTTATATTCTTGTTAATTGGGTCATAACTAAAATTTTAAGAGCAAAATAAAAAAAATTTGACGGTTTGAATTGTTTTAATTGGATGTTTATTAAAAATATGTATGCACACTTTCAATTATCCAATTAAAACTAGCGATTTAATTTAAATATTTAATATTTGCATAACTAAAAAAAAGGTTTTTACAATTTTTTTTATATATTTTACTGTTTTGTTGCAATAAACGTTCAAACTTTTAATCTAACCTTTGACGTATACATTTATGTTCCCATAATTAATATATCCTTAAAGGTTGCCATGAAACTTAGATCTATTAAAAATTTATTTGACGTTTTAATTGTCATTTTCAGTATACGTATTCTATAATTTTTGTTTAGTTTTTTAAAGTGTGAATGAAAAATTGTAGTAAAAGTTACGAAGAAATTCATGAAATTTAACTAAGGACCGGTTTATTCATCTTTAGTAAAGTTTATCGGGCCGATAACTTTCATGTCTTGGCAATATCTAGTATCCAAAGAAATTATTCGTCAAATAAATCAAAAATGAATAAATCGGCCCTAAATAAAATGTGGCACCCTTAGAATTATTGTATACTATACATTTAACCTTAAATTAAAACTTTAAACGTGTATTACAACAAAACAGTAAAAGATATAAAAAATGTATAGTGTATAGTTTTTTAGGAAATTAACTAATCTTTAATCTGATTTAAAAAGTTATGATAATATTTAAATAAAATCGCAAGTTTTAATTGGAGAATTGAAAGTGTGGATACATATTTTTAATAAACATCCAATTAAAACAAAATTAACCGTCAAATTTTTTTTTTTGCTCTTAAAATTTTAGTTATGACCTAATTAACAAGAATATAAAAAAAAATTAGGTTTCACAGAAAGTCCAAAAATCACCTCTCAGAACAGCACAGTGTAGGGTGTCCCTTATTTTTATTTTTTTTACGCATACCCTCCAATTATATTTATTACTTGTTTATATGCTCCCAGTAAAAATTTCAGCTCATTCTATAAACGGGAACCCGTGCCGACTTGCATCTGAACCCTCCGTTAGCCAACGCACATACAGGTATTTGCACGATCTGGGCGGCCAAAATTATTTGTATGCTTAAATGGTATGTTAACCATTCCAATAGATGAATTAACTTGTTTTTAACAAAAAAAAATACTAATTTACAATACTTTTACTAAACGGCACAATGGAGTATTAAGAAAAATATGCTTAGTCAGATTCTTAGAATAATTGTAATTGTAAAAGTGTAATTATTACACCTGGTACACCAAAGACAAACATACACTTTGAAAAATGGCAAAAATAAAAAAAAATAATATTATTTATAATAAAAATAATATTATTTATTTTTTCGAATTTTTTATTTAAAATCTTTGAAGTATCAAAAAAACAAGTTATCCGGAATTTTCCGGGCAATTTTTTGGTGTTATTTATTAAAAGAAAGGGTAAATATTACATAAAAATTAAAACCATAGCTTGATCTAGCTTGATACCATAACAAATACCTTCGTGAAAGAAAAAAAATCATTAAAACTAGACTAAGAAAAAGAGTTCACTTTCAATAATAAAAAATTTCTATTTAAATAAGTTATTTATATTTATTATATGATAATTTGTAAGTTTATTAACTGGTGTATTAGGATCCATCAATTTTAACTTGTTAGATTAACTTGCGGCGCAAATATTCACATAAAAAAACAGGTTGTCTTATAGGCACGCTAAAAATTGATATGTACTCTAGGTTAGAAATTTAAATTCAGACTAATCATACGTACGTGGGGTGCGCGGGAAAAGGGAGTAAGCGTTTGGATACGGTTCTCAGAAGCGTTGTCCAACGCAGGTTGTCTGTTTTAACGATGTCATTCAAACTTTGATAACAGGCATTTTGGCCGCCCAGATCTTAGAAATACCTGTATGTGCAACGTTAGGCGCGCGCGGTATTTTGTAACACGAAACACTTTAAAAAGAAGATATACTTCATGACTGTATTTTTCTAATGATTTTATTAAATATGATTACTAATTAATATTATTGCTTTTGTTTCTATCATTTGTTTCACTAATTTAGTTGATTTTATCCCTTAAATATATTAATCTAATTAGTGTTGCTAAAATATACTGTTATATGAAATTTCAGCTTTTTATAAGCATTTCTTTTCTTGATGTCCTCCCAAAAATATTTCAGACAGTTCAATAAGTTTTCGGTAGTCATCTCTCACAATAGACTCTTTTAGTTATTTAGAGTAAAACCCATTAAGTTTATCAATTTCAGAGTTTACGGCCTATTCACCAGACCCTTCCGGGTAACTAGCCACTCCCTGTGAAAATATACATTTTTATCAAAGTATACACATAAATAAAATTTTATTTTAACATTTCTCAATAATTTATAATATAAGGGTCACATAATAACAAACACAAAATTACTTACAATCGAAGACCTCGCGACCAACCGTGTTCAGATGCAAGTCGGCACGGGTTCCCGTTTATAGAATGAGCTGAAATTTTTACTGGGAGTATATAAACACGTAATAAATATAATTAGGGGGTATGCGTACAAAAAATAAAAATAAGGGAAACCCTACTGTAGGTGAACTTTTTTTGTGTGCAGCGATAGGAGACGCGACAGCCCCTACAGCAAGCGATCCAAATCTCGAGATCGTTATTCTCGAACGAGAGACAGGTCCAGGTCCAAGGAGAAGTCCATGGATAAGCCGGAATACAGGGAGAAGGGTTACAGGGAGAGTTCGTACGAGCGCGACGTGCGCGGCAAAGATCGCGTCAGGACGGTGGCCGATTTGCCGTGGGAAAGGGAAAAGTACTACGAGGATTACTACAAACCCCCGCCGGTGATGAGGGACGTGACCAGAAAACCCATGATTCTACCGCCGGCCAGGACCATGGTTCCCCCGGAAGAGGAAGAGGACGACGGGGAGGTCAACATCGTCGGCATTTTGCGACTCTTGACCGCCGTGGAAGAGCGTTTGGGTTCTCTGGGCCCGAAAATAATCGATCTCCTGGCGCAAGCTTTGGCGATGGAAAAGCACGAGGCGAACAGCTCGGAAAAGTTGCTCGACAGCGACATAAACTGCGTGCTGTTCGAGACCGTGAAGGAGAAGTTGAAGGGGCAGCTGCTGGCCGGGTTGGTGGACCAGTATCAGGAAAGGGCGTTCAAGAAGGCCATCAAGAAGACGGCGAGTTTGATACACCTGGCCGGCGAGAGGCAGAAGGATCAGCAGAGCAAGATGTCGACGAAGGTCACGCCGGTCAGCGTTCCGGGGGTGGGTACGGTCGATAAGGCGGCCATTGCGAGGCAGATCGCGTCGGCGTTGATCGCGCAGGGAAAAACCGACGTGACGCAGGATCAGCTGGAGCAACTGATCAACGCGGTGGTGGGTATGGCGGAGGCGTCCAAGAAGGCCGGAAAACCGATCAGCACGCAGAGTTTCTTGGACAAACTGAGCGGCAACTCCGCGGCAACGGAACCGACCGTCGAGAAAAAGGAGGTCGCCAGTCTGGACAAGATTACGGAGCCGCTGACGCCGAGCCCCAAGTCCAGCAGCCAGCAGAACATGGACCACCTGTCCGATTCGGATCTGCAAACGCTCCTGCAAAACTTCAAGGATTTGCAGACGGACGAGCAACACGGGCTCATAAACTACCTGAAAAAGTTGGAATCGCACGAACCGGAACGGGTGGAACGTTTGAGGAAGTTCGTGAACCTCAAGCCGACGGAGGAGGAGAAACCGAAGGCGGGTTTGGACATGAAAGGCCTCGAGGACGTCGACGATTTCGAGGACGAGGAGGAGAATAAACCCTCGGGGAGAGAGAGCCCGTTTTCGAACAGACTGGGCGGACTCAACCCGACCGCGGACGAGAAATCCAAAGAACCGCCCGCGAAAATACAGCTGGACTCCGAAGACGAAGAGTACAGCTTCGAGGATGTGGTAAAAGCGGCGTCCAAGAACGTCAAGGCCAAAGAACTGGAAAAGGAGCGGCAAATAGTGGAGGAATCGATGAAGAAAACCAAGGACATCGTCGACGCGCAATCGATAATATCGAACTTGATGAGCAACTTCAGCAAAAACAAAACCGCCGCCGCGAACGTGGGCGCCAGCAGCAGCTCCAACAGCGCCAGCACCTCCTCCATGGACTTCTCCGGCAGCTTGAGCGGCATCAACATGGAAAACATCGCCAACATCGTGGGGAACGCGCAGAAGATGCTCCAGGATCAGCAGACGAGCAAGCGAAACGAGGAGATGTTCCAGAGTCAAAGCACCAGTAGAAGGGACGAGTTTTTGGAAGACTTCCCGCCGGTTGCGAGCGACAGCTTCAGCTTCGAACCGCCGAGTCAAGGCACGTCTTCCCCGTCGAAACCGCACATAATCTCGAACATAGTGTTGAACAGGATCGACCGTTCGAACGCGCCGCAAAGTTTGGGGCCGAGTCGCCCGAGTTTCGAACCCAACAGACCCGATCTCCAGCCCGCGAGGTCTTCGATGAATTCCAACGGATCTCAGATGAGCATGGGGCCCAGGATGGGCATGCAGCAGGGGCCCAGAATGGTGCTGCCAAGACCTCAGCTGAACAACGGCCCCAGCGGTAATCAGCAGCAGCAGCAGAGAGGGAATTACCCCCCAATGGGTAACAACTCGTACGGAAACAATTTCCAACCAAACAACTACCCATCACAGCAGCAGCAGCAGCAACAACAACAACAAAATGTCGCTTACCCCAACATGAGGGGTAATAATTCAAACTTTGAACAAAGACCCAGATATAACAACCCACGATTTCAAGGAAATCAGTTTAATAGTAGACCCAGTGGCAATTATAATAATAATAATAGTAATAGATGGTAAGTTTCATTTCCCTGTCATTTTTTTTTTATATTAATGCATTAATTAATAATAAACGTGTATAGCTTTTATTAGTATTTCATTTAAAAAATTGACCCACTATACAAATTTTAAGGGTTGATTCTACAGCGCAAAATATAAAAAAAACCTTCCCAATCACATGGGGCAAAAAATGCTCTTTTTCTTTTAATTTGCAAGTTACTGATCATTAATAGCCATTCACCATTGGAGTCCAATGATTGGACAACATTCACGTGTGCTCACATAAAATTTTAATTTCTTTTAAATAAAATTAATTTCAAAGCGAAGATTATTATCCGCTAGGAATACTTTGTCTCTCCTGGGCCGTAGTCACCTATATTTAACTACTTTTTTACATGATTTTACTCATCTACGCACCACCAAAGCCAAATTAATGGCATTTTTAACTACGAATTTTGACAACCGTTCAATGTAACCTACAATAATTTAAACATAACCACAATTACATTTATAACTATAGTTTAGTTTGTTTTAATCAATGCAACCAATTTTGGTTCCGTATTTACCAACCAAACCCCTAAATTTGCAACGTTGCCGCAGTCCAGATAAAAAAAAATGAACTCATTTTCATGTAAACAAGAATTTAAATTGTATTAATTTGGATTTATCTGCTTTTGCTGGATTTGCTAGGTTTCGAGACCGGTATTTTATATCAATTACTTGGTTTGGCTCAATTCTGAGTCCACCAATGGATTAATCTTACCTCATTTTTCGTTAGTTCATTCCTAACTCATTTTTCAACAAAACTGCTTTTGTCTAATTGCCCCACAAATGTGCTGTTAAATTTAAACAGATTAATAATCGTTTTAAACGTCGTGTTTCTTACAGAGGAACAACCATTTTACTCTTTTGTTTAAAATAAACCTTATTCTATCAGAATTGTCATAAAACTGTCAAATTTCAATTTTAAGGTTAATTTACAATAAATTAACCTTAAAATTGACATTTGACAGTTTGATAAAATAAGGTTGTTTTTGACATTTTAAAATGCGTCAAAAATGTCAACTGCTGCAACTCTTGTTACACTAAAACGGTTTTCGCTTACAAGGAAATATTTTAAAAGCAATTATTAGTATATTAATCTTTTAATGTAATATTAATTATATCATTAGTACGTAAAATAGCATGAGGCATCACTTCTGGTAAAGGGGTCTTCAAATTGCTAACCATAACGTTTTCAAAATTAATATCGGTCGCCTTAATAACACAAGAAACTTCTGTTTTATCAAACATCCTAACTTTAGCAGTTTTTCCTGAAATGATATGTATAGGTATATAATAAAAGTAACTCATACAAATTAAACCACTTACCACACATGGACGTTAAAAAGTACAAATATCTCTCCCTCAAAAAGGCATTCGCCTCGTTTATTTCACTATTCTCGTGTTGATTCATTGAAATGGGCAAAATAAAACCAAAAGTAAGGTTATGTTTTTTATTTACAGTTTTACCAATTCACATGATGAAATTTTTGGTAAAATATCCTACGACTAGTTTAACATTAAACATTACTTAAATACGAACATTATAATATCAATTATTGTTTATATATTAAAGCCCAAATCCCTCATACACTTTTTATGAGCTTCGATTAAGTGTTGACAGTTTTCTTCCCCATTTTCGATGATGCTATAATTATAAGAAATAGTTAAAATTTTAAAAAAATTATAATAATAAATACCAAGCATCCCTGACTTTTTTGGTTTCTGGGCAGGCACAACACGCCTTTAATTTTTTAGGTTCTTCATTTGCCTTGGCTGTACCTGTCGATGCAGCCTCCACATTTTGACTTATTTGATTTCCCATGACTTAAATCGAATAATTATTAAATTAAAACGACATTTAGCACAAAATTCTAATAAATCACCTTGACAGTCCAAATATCACGTATATTTTGAGTGAACTGACGTTTCCAAGTAAATATAACCTCACTTTTATGTGTGGTTATGTAACTAAACAGGGTTGCCTTTTTTTATAAAATGCCATATTATTTTCTCCTTTTCATTTTATTTAAGAGTTTTAAAACAGTCAGTTTTAATTATGGGCATTATTCTATGATTTTCGGTGTTATTTTTGAAAACTTGCAAATTGTTTCGTTTTTCTGTTGGCTGCCTGCTTGTCATGTTTATGGCGGTATATTTAAACTACATAACAGTTATTTTGGCTGCAATGTCGATTTTAAATGAGGTTCCAAGAACTCTGTGTAGTTTTTGAGCAGCCCTTTAAAAAATTAAATATTTATGTCATTTTTATAGCAATACATTGTAATTTTCTGAATCATAATCGCTGATTTTACACTTTAAACTCGTTCCAAAGTTGAATACGTTGCATAAATTAACCCAGGAGTTCACGAACGGAAGTGAAATGATTAGAAATTGTTAGTTGTCTTTATTTTATTGTAACAACATGAGTGAAAACCAGGTCTGTAGTTCTTATTTTCCTACTTATCACATTATTATTTATGTTTAATAATTTATTTTTCTGCAATGTTTTTGTTATTTTGTTGCTGTAGAATCAACGACGTGTAAAAACCGAACAATCCAGAAAAGAAGGTCGTTTTTGCAGGATAATAATGGCCTTTTTCTACGCCTTTTTAAATTGTGTGAGATACTACATAGATTTATTAATTGATGCTGCTTTTGGTTACTACTATGACCCAACAAGACAATGCATACCAAAAGTGAAAAATAAAATAATATTAGACAGCGCTACAACGTTAGCAACAAAAATTAGGAAAGGGGAGTTAAAATCTGAGGAAGTTGTTGAAGCTTTCATCGATAGAATCAAAGAAGTGAATGGTATAATTAATGCCGTTGTTGATGATAGATTTGAGGAGGCTTTACAAGAGGCAAGAAAAATTGATAAGGATATTGAAACTGGTAACATCATCGATGCTGATTTTCAAGCAAAACCATTCTTAGGTAAATTTGAAGGAAAAATTTAAAATTCTATTTTTATGGTTTTTGTTATTAAAGGGGTTCCCTTTACTGCCAAAGAGTCCACTTCAGTTAAAGGCATGTCAAACACAATGGGGCTGAAGATTCGCCAAGGAAAAAAAGCTAAATACGATGCAGATATAGTAGAAAATGTTAAAAAATCTGGGGCTATATGCATAGGTAATTTTGAGGGTATTTTTTAAGGGCAATATTTTTTAATTATTGTTTTTAGGTGTGACAAATATACCCCAGATGAATTATTGGCAAGAAACGGGAAATCCCTTATTTGGTATCACCAAAAATCCTTATAATACAACCAGAAATGTTGGGGGGTCTTCTGGGGGAGAAGCCAGCAATTTGGCAGCTTGTGGGACAGCTATAAGTATTGGTAAGTATATATTTTTTAATTTGTCAATTTTAGTTGTATTAAAATTAAGAGCAACTTTGGAAGTCTGTAGTGTTGTTATTTTTTACCCAAATTTCAAAATAATTAATTAATTAAATAATATTAATTAAATAATTAATTATTATGTAATTACATCAAATGATAGACAATTTCATCCACTTTAAAAAAATGTACAAATCTTTATATGTCCCACTACTAATTTTCCGAGATAATCCACAAAATATAAGGTAGTGTAAATTTTAGTTGTCTTAAAATTAAGAGCAACTTTGGAAGTCTGCAGTTTGGTTATTTTTTTTCCAAATTTAAAAATTATTACAACAAATTTTAGATAATTTCATCCACTTTAAAAAAATTTATAAATCTAAATAGGTATGTCCCAGTTCTAATTTTTCGAAATAATCCACAAAATATAAGGTACTTATAAGTGTCAATTTTAGTTGTCTTAAAATTAAGAGCAACTTTGGAAGTCTGTAGTTTGGTTATTTTTTACCCAAATTTAAAAATTATTACAACAAATGTTAGATAATTTAATCCACTTTAAGAAAATGTACAAATCTTAATATGTGTCGGAGCTAATTTTTCGAGATAATCCACAAAATATAAGGTAGTGTAAATTTTAGTTGTCTTAAAATTAAGAGCAACTTTGGAAGTCTGTAGTCTGGTTATTTTTTACTCAAATTTAAAAATAATTACACCAAATGTTAGATAATTTCATCCACTTTAAGAAAATGTACAAATCTTAATACCTATGTCCCATTACTAACTTTTCGACATAATCCACAAAATATAGTTGTTAATTTTAGTTGTCTTAAAATTAAGAGCAACTTTAGGACTTTAGTCTGCAGTTTTGTTGTAATATAATAATTACATCAAATGTTAGATAATTTCATCTACTTTAAGAAAATGTTTATATCTTATTGCATGTAATTTTAGGCTCAGACATTGGTGGTTCTATAAGAATACCATCATTTATGTGCGGTGTTTTCGGGCACAAACCTACAACCGGTTTAATATCAACCAAAGGTAATTTTCATAAAGACAATTTTATGAAATTTCCACATAAAAACAATTTATTACAGGCTTATCGTTTAGAGACGGCAAAGAAACCCAGACGATGGTAACTGCGGGCGTTATGAGCAGGCACGCCGAAGATTTGGCACCACTGTTAAAAGTTTTACTGGGTACCAACGCGGCAAAACTCAAATTGGACACCCCTGTGGATTTGAGTTCACTCAGGGTGCTTTTCGTCGTTGACCCGCAAGATCCTTTTGTTAGCCCCTTTAGGCAGGAGATTAAAGATTCCATTTGGAAAATTGTCAGCTTTATGAGAGATGAGTGCAACGAACCACCGACGGCGGTGAATTTCAAACAGTTCAGATACACCACAAAGTTGTGGAGATTCTGGATGACTCAGGAAGAGACCGACTTCAAAAGCGACCTAACGGACCAAAACGGAAAAATCGCCGTTATACCCGCCATATTGAAGCACTTCCTGTTTCTGAGCAACGACTACAGCACCGGCACCGTTTACAATTTAATAAGCGATTTGTTCCCCAAAGTTGACGAAACCTGGGCCAAAGAAGAGACCGAGGACTTGAAGAAAGCCTTAACTGTACGTATATTTATTTTAAACGAGGTATTTTATTCAGTAGGACGAATTTTGGTTCACTTTGCGCATCACCCAGTTGTCGCCATCTTAGTTTATTCCCGCCTGAATTTAAATATTATTCTCAAATTATTCGATTTTTTGATTAAATTGTCGAATAATTTGAAGATCACACGTAAATCACAATCAAATAAAATATGTTGTTTTAAAGTAAATAATATTTGGGTGAATATTTTAAAATTGTCGATTTTCGGAACCATTTTCGTTTTACCAAAAATTTTCTTTAAAAAAATAAACAAAAGCTCAATAAATACATGTTTTATGCCCTAACCTCTAATGCCCTTCTGAATTTATTTACTCGTCCAGCTATTAGCTTAAGCAATGATTAGAAAATTTAGTACCTATTTTAAAAACTCCATAACCACAAAATTAATTTTTTCATCGGTTTTTTTCTTTCTGTTTACTCAGATTGAAGTCACAAGTTAAACTTAAAACATTCAATTTGTGTCAATAAATCCAAAAGCACTTCCCTTAGTTAAGATATTTACAATTTGAGCACATAACCTAAAATTTGAAAGAAATGCACCAGATTCTGTCATAAAAGTTGCCAGATTTTGTTTGAATTTGCCTTCATTGCAAAAATGACATAAGTAATCAACAATTAATAAAAACGCCAAATTAACAATTTGCATTGTTGATTTTGTCATTTTTGTGATTAAGCTAAATTTAAACAAAATCTGGCAACATTTTTGACAGAATCTGGAAACGCTGGTTGTTACCAACCATAACATAATAAATTAGATGGCTTACTTTTTAGTAGGTTAAAGATTATTATAAACCTTTCAAATAGCTTAAAAAGCAACTCGCATCAAAATGTAACACAAGAACATACCTACTTTAAACGTATACTGATTTTATTTAAATTGTTTTATTCAAGGACAAACTCGGCGATAAGGGGGTGCTAATCTTTCCTTCGGCCCCATTCACGGCCAGCTATCACCACACAGCTCTTCTGCGTCCGTACAATTTCAATTTGTTCTCTATTTTCAACGTGCTCAAGTTCCCTGTGACCCAGGTACCATTGGGACTCGACAGTCAAGGTTTACCTCTGGGAGTGCAGGTGGTTTCCGCTCCACACAACGACCATTTAACCATCGCGGTGGCGAGAGCCTTGGAGAAGCAATTTGGAGGGTACGTTCCCCCATTTAGTGCCTCTTGAAAAGGTTCTTCGACTTATTTTGGGTTTTGTGCGACTGGTTTATATTTTTATACTACTTTAAATTGGGGTCTGTTTTGGGTCTATTCTGTGGTGGTATTGAAACAGTATTCAAGGTGTTTGTTGGCATTTTTAGGGGCCACCGGATATAAGGCTAATAATTTATTTTGATGTTGTTAAATAAAAAAAATTACTAATTTTAAATGTAACTTTATTTATTCATCTTAAACATTAACATTTGATAAGATTTATATTAAATTAAACTAACCACATGCGTTTTGATTACATCCAACTAAAAGATTCTACCGAAATATATATTCACATGTATATAAAAATGTATATTATTCCCCAACTAAAGTAGACTATTGAAAAATATAACGGGAATATTTAAAACTATCTGATATATTTCTATATCTACTAATAGAGTTTATATGTATTTTTTATAGTAATTGTGGACCTTTTCCAACCCTGATTCATATAATGTAGACAAATTATTATAACAGTGGACTAACTCTTGATAAAACCCGACAAACGATTCATTTTTACATTCCAGATAAAAACCAGGTGTCAGTTTATAAAATGTGGAAAGTCAAGGTTTAAAAGATACAGTGTTTCGCAAAACAACACAGCCCATTATTATATCTTTGGCTAATCATCACTTTGTTAAACAATCATTTGTACTATAATATAAAATCATCCAAAAACGTTTCCCTATAATTCGATATCAGTATTTTGATGCATGCCTTTTGAACAGAACATTGTGGACACGTCTGCTACGTTTTAAATACTGGTCATTCCTCTATCGGCGACTCAATAGAGGGATGAGAAGTACTCAAGAGTGCGACGTTTCCCAAATTTCGGATTCGGTAGGTCCACTGTGCGCGGTAAAATCCCCTCGATGCAACGGTTTGGTGACGGTGCTCTCGCACTTTCTAAGGTACTTAAAACGAAAAAGAAACCATGCAGGCACTCCCAAAGTGGTTGGACATTATCACTATGCGCTACCTACTTTAAGAGTCGCTTTTTTAAGTTTCACGATATTTTGTCGCGCCACCAGGAGAATAAAACCAGCGGCGACTCGAAGTCGGTGAACGTGAAAACCGGCGCGAATAGAGCGAAGAAAATGAAGAGGAAGGAGAGGGGGGAGAAGGTGGCGAGGAAGTTTCTCGAGTCGGGACAGGTTCCGTGCAGCTTTAAGCACGCCGTGAGCATGTCGCAGTACGCGTGCAGCTGCATCAAGAGCAGCTTGGGCGGATCGTGTCGCTTGCCGTCGAAAAGATGCGAAACGCTCCGAACGAAGCTCGAGTCGTAGAAAATAAAGTACAAGGGGTGGATGGTGGGTAGAGGGCAGGAGTCGAGGATCAACGAGAGGAGGGGGTTAGCTGCGCATGAGCACAGCTGCAGTGGACACCCTCAGCTCGGGAATTTGGAGTAGAAGGCGTAAAGCAAATCGTAGTTTTTGAAGTTGCACTGCTGAATGTCGCGTCTCAGCCACTCGCCGATGGCGTTCATGTGGATCAGCTCTTTTGTGGTGCTCTTCACCGGCGACGTCTGAAATAAGTAATTAAAATTAATCATATATTATATCACGAGAACTATGAATTTAATCGGGTAAACTAGGCTCAGTAGTTTTTGTTTGGTTTTTGTTGGAAAATGTTGAATGCAAAATAATTTAATAAAATCACGAGACCGCGTAGCGGTCGAGGGGTTTTATTTTTAATTATTTTGCATGAAACTATTTTCCAATAAGAAAAATCAAATAAAAAACTTACTGAGCATAGTTTGACAGATTAAATTTATAGGTCGAGTGCACATCTAGATTATTTCTCGAATTAAAGGAAACTATTTGACTATTCATAAAATCTGACGTATGTGTCAAAGTTTATAAATATTTTTTTAAAGAAAATTCCATTAATTTAAGGTTTGTAATAAGTAATAATTGATATTTCGTAAACTAGATAACTTATTTTTTATTGTTTTTTAAAAAAATTTTGTTAAAACTTGTAAATAACACCATAAAATCGTAAAGAATATCCAATATGGAGGCTAAAATTTAATCGCTGTTAAAAAGGTCTAGTGATTTAATCGCTTATTTAAACGAAATTTATTCGAAAATTCAAGGCTTTTGATTGGTTCATATTATATTGAGGGAAATAATCATTTTTAGAGGATTGGAAAAATAACTCATGCCCCAACATTCCAAGATTGTGCATACAGCAACATTCTTTAGATAGTGTAAAAAACAACAAATATTTTTGCAGAGTTGCACTTTTTACTTTATAAAATAATAAAATTTAATGAATACTTATGATCAATTGATTGATTTTATTTATTTTTAATATAATAATTATTATTAACAATAAATATATAATAAGAAAATCTGAAATTATTTGATTCTTATGCCTCACAAAAATTTTAATGAAGTTGTGGAAATACTCCCGAAAATATATTTTTTATTATTTTCGAAATTGGAAAATTTTCAAAATTTATAATTTTTAAACTTCTAAAACTAAAAATTTCTGAAATATCAAAAAAACTTTCAAAATCAAAAAAAATCTACATTTTCAATAAATACAGCAACGTTATAAAATACAGGACAACTGGCAATCCTGCATTATGGTAAGGTACAAATTAAAAAAAAATCTAAACGTACATTGTTTGGTAAAAATTTGAAAATTTGAAAATTTTTGAAATTTAAAAAATTCCTAAAATATCAAAAAATGTTTATTTTAATTTTTTTTAAATTATAAAATTTTCAAAACAAAATTTGAAAATTTTTAAAAATTTCAAAAAAGATACTTCCTGATTAACAAAAATTTGAAATTTTTGAAAATTTTAAAATTCCTAAAATTTTCAAAACCAACAAAAAAATTCCAAATTTTTAAAAAATACAACACGTTATAACAGAAGCAGGACACCTGGCAACCCTGCCTTATGGTAAAGTGCAAATAAAAAAATCCAAAATGATTGGCGAAAATTTCAAAAATTTCTAAAAATGTTTATTCTTTTTTTTAAATTTACAAAATTTTCAAAACCAACAAAAAAATTCAAAATTTTCAATAAATACTACAGCAACGTTATAAAATGCAACCCAACCCAACCCTGTATTATGGTAAGATGCAAATTTAAAAAATCGAAAATCCTACCTGATTGGCAAAAATTTGAAAAATTTCAAAATTTAAAATTTTTGAAAATTTTAAAATTCCTAAAATTTCCAAACAATTTTTATTTTAATTTTTTTTTAAATTCACAAAATTTTCAAAACAAACAAAAAAATTCAAAATTTTCAATAAATACAGCAACGTTATAAAATGCAGAACACCTGGCAACCCTGCCTTATGGTAAGGTGCAAATAAAAAAAAATCCAAACAATTTGAAAATTTCAAAAATTTCTAAAAATGTTTAATTTTTTTTTTAATTTACAAAAAATTAACTGTATCCTACCTGATTAGCGAAGATGGTGACTGTGAACTTTCCCGGAAGAAAAGTGTCGATCACCTTGTCAATAATGTCCCTGTAAGAACTAGATGGAACATTTGTTTCAAAACTAACATAGGAAAATTCATTTTCTGGGGTTATATGAATTGTCATGTAGCAGCCCTATAAGGAAAATGTTATTAGAAACCTATTCGAGTTTTAAAATGTCTGATGCGATCTGTGAAAAATGATGTCGAGTGCACAAAAATAAATAAATAATACATGATTTTTCGCTTTGTATATTTACTTACATTTGATATTTCTGTATTTATCTGGTAAGACATGAAATAAAGGTACAGTAGGTTTTATTTAAGGGTTCGATAAATAAATAACAGTAGGCCGCGAACGCAAATTCAGCGGTGCCAATGTGACAAAAATAAAACGTTGTATTTTAATTGACAAATTAATACTTTACAACAAATTAAAGTATTATAAAAAACTAAAAACAATATAAAAATAAAATAGGTGAAATTATATATGGTTAATTTGTTGTTATAATGGCCAAAATAAGGTTTAAAACGGTCATACTTTAGTGTTTCTTACTTTGGCAGCACGGAATTTGAAATGACAGTTTTATCGTTTCCAAACTAAGAAACAAAATAGATTTTTTATGGAATATGCTACATTAAATTTTGAAAACATTCAATGAAAACTTAAATGTGGATATTGGATATTGAAAATTTGCAATCATTGGAATTTTCTATATGCCAGGTAATAAAAATTAAAGTAATTAAATTGGCAGAGTTATACACGCAAACTGCCAAAAAAAGTTAAATTAAAAAAGTGAACACGTGGCCCCCAAAATAAACAATCTTCTGATATTGAAATTTGTTAATATGAGTTTTTTGCTTATTTCTTGTTAATGTTGGATAATTCCTGTTTTTTAACACAAAAACCTTTGATTTGTTTATGGTTATAAAATTGATAAAAAATGTTATACAATTCATCCTATCTTCAAATTTGGGCGATAAGATGTTGGATAACCCCCATAAATAAATATTTTAAAACTAGTGAATTTTGATAGTATAGACTACTTACATTCTTTGTGACCCCATTCATGGAATACCCACATGGTTCAAACAAAAAATCATCTATGACCATGTTGGGGATTATCTTGTCAATGCCTGCTTTCTGCAACAATAAATATTCTCACTTAAAAAAAATTTATTCCAATACGCTAAAGAAGTATCGCTAGTAGCGCCACCACTCGGCTTTTATCATCGTAACAAAAGTACGACTTTTAATAATCAGCTGTCAAACGCTTATGTTACAAACGAGTTTTTGAGAATAAAGCCGGAAAATGTTAATAAATATCGAAAAAAAACCGTGGCTCGATTTGTTGTGTTGTTGGGTGTATTTCTAGAGGAAATCCTGGGTTGAGTTTTTACCGGTTTTCCAATAAACAGTGTTAATCTGAATGAAGAAATAAATTGCATACAGTCTCTGTAAATTTAAATTGTACCTATTAGATACAATAAAAACACATTTTAGTGGTAATTAACGTGAAAAGTGTAAACATTTCAAGTCAGTAAAAATCGTCAAACAAATAAGTCGTCTAAATTTAAACAGCATTTAGCATTATTAAAAGCGTTGATTAAGAAAGTCTCCACTAAACGGTAAAATACCATTATATTATTCGTAGGTATACTTTATTGTTTAAAATGCAGTTGTCGGCGTTTTTTAGAGAACTCAAATATAAAAGTGGTTGATTTTAAGGTTATGTTTGTGCAAACATTATTTTTTACTAATTTCTTAAAAATATTTAAACTTAAATACACTCACAGGCAAAATAATCGATCCACACAAATTTTCGATGAATTTCAATCGCAAATAACTTTTTTATTTGATGTCGGATTTAAACGAATATTAAAGAATATTGTAGATAAATTAATGGACAATTGCTCACATTTTAAAAAAATACTAAAAAATTGACGTACGTTTATAATAAACAGGTTTAAACAAAAAGATGTTTTTTACCATATGTTTAAGACACTCTGTAGAGTGGCAAAACCATATATTGTTCTAAATTGTTCTATTTATTAAGTCACATCTATTCTTAACAGTTTTGTTTTTGGTTCACCTCGATATATTTATTTTTGTGGAAAATATGGATTTTTTTAGAAAACATTGCAATTTCCAATATTTTTCTGTATGAAGAATTAAGGTTGCTATGGTCCATCGATAGGCTATGAAGAATGACAGTGACAGTTTTGTTGAATCATCCCATACTTGGACATGTCATACACGGCTTTCAAAAGCTATCAAATTGTTTTTTGCAAATTAATGTTTAAATTTTGAGGTATCTTCTTACTTTAAAAAATGGATATGTCTCCGACTGATGTTGCCATAGCCATTAATTTAATCCAGGATGGACGGTCACAGTATTACTTGGCAAGTGTTTTAAACGTCACAAGAAGTAAAGTACAAAGGGCAACATCAGTCGGAGACATTTTTAAAAGTAAGAAGACACCTCAAAATTAATACTTTAATTTACAAAAAACAATTTGATAGCTTTTGAAAGCTGTATTTGACATGTCCAAGTATGAGATGATTCAACAAAACTGTCACTGTCATCCTCCATAGGCTATGGATGGACCATAGCAACCTTAGTTCTTCATACAGAACAAATATTGGAAATTGCAATGTTTTTTTTTAAAAATCCATATTTTCCACAAAAATAAATATCTCAAGGTTAACCAAAATTAAAACTGTTAAAAATAGATCTGACTTGATAATTAAAACTTAATTTAGAACAATATACGGTTTTGCCACTCTACAGAGTGTCTTTAACTTATGGTAAAAAACATCTTTTTGTTTAAACCTGTATATTATAAACGTACGTGTATTTTTTAGTAATTTTTAAAATGTGAGCGATTCTCCATTAATGTATCTACAATATTCTTTAATATTTGTTTAAATCCGAAATCAAATAAAAAAGTTATTTGCCATTGAAATTCATCGAAAATTTGTGTGGATCGATTATTTTGCCTGTGAGTGTATAAATTATATTAGTCAAAGTTATCATTAGTTAATTCTGCACCAACAAATGTTCTTACCGAATTGGATCCTTTGTGAAAACATGAAAATTCAACGATTTAGTTCTTGAATTTTATTTACAATTAAAAACACAATAATTCACCATGATCCCTTAGATAAAATGCACACACTAACGTAACTATATAAGCATTTAAGCGTTGAGTTTCTTAATCAATGATATAAGGAATAATCAATCGAAATCGAGTACTAAAAAAGTTTTTTAATTTTTCCTTGCAACGTAAAACACAATCTGTCCTTTAAATGTATTGTTGCGAAAACCCGATACTTCTTTAGCGTATACGCCTAAAACTCACCTTTGTAGCTTCGGTGGCGTTGAGGCACTCCTCCCTGGTAAAAATGGACATAATTTCCGGGTCCAAGTCGGTCATCAGGATCTCCAGGGTCTGATCGGGCTCCAAGGGGGGCAATGCGGGCCTGCGGTTCCTCTGCGGCACGGGATTCAACGTGTAGAGGAACCAGCAGTCTCTGTTGATGGCGCCCAAGCAGTACGCTGCGCCGTCGGGGAACAGCGAGTCCAGCAGCGCCACCTCTTGGTCGAAGTGCTTGTGCGGGGTCACCTGCAGCTCCGGCCTTCGGTAATTTTTGCGCGAGTAGAACAGGTCCTCCACCTCGGTGAAGCCAGCAAACTGCTCCGCTAGGTGCAACAAAGGTTCCAAGCAGAGCAGCGGGATCGTGGTACCGCATGTTTTCAGGATGAAACGGCGCTTGGAGATGAACAAGGAACTTTCGCTGCAATAAATGAGCAACGTTTGTAATATACAAAATCTATATTTTTTATAAAAACGAGCAATTAAAAACTATACGATTTTTTTCATTTGATTAATTAATTAAGCTGTGTTGAATATTTTTCCTAAAGGAATAATTGCCAATGGGCCATTACTTCATTTATTCAATACCTGCACTGGTGTGTACTTTTTAATCAACCAGATTTAAATAAAATAAAACTACCAGTGGAGATGTGCAGGGTCTACCAACAGACCTCATTACTAAATTATTAAAGTTTAATAGCATATCGATCATTTTTTGTTACGGTAATTAAAAATCAGACAAAGGAACCAAAGAAAGGAACTATTTTCAACAAAATCATATGCAGAAATGAGAAAATTCAAACTACTTGCATCCATCAAAAGATCAAAACTTCTTGCAATATTGAATTACACCTCTCAGAAATATTGACTAGAACAGTATTAGATAGACTCCAGTTTCTATAACTTGGTAGAGTAAAGAGAAGTCGAAACCGTTGCGATATTGCATTGCCCTGTTTTTGTATAATTCTCGGTGACATTAACGAAATTCATTGCCAGTAAAATTCGAAAAGATTGAGTTTCTATGTCTCTGAAGAAAATAGGAATCCGAAGTTGCTGCAAAATTGGACTGAACCCTTTTTCAATAATTTCTAGAGACATAAATGACTGCACCATTCGACAGGGTCGAGTTTCTACCTCTCTGTTGAACATAGAAAATAAAAATAATGTATCTTGTAAGACACCATTGAGTTTGACTTTAAAATATTTAATATAGTAGTTCATAAGTATAGAGGCGAAAAATATAAAAACAAAACACGATTCAGTACTTTAAGATTTAGTATTCAAACAGGGAGTCATCCTATACAGTTCTATATTTTTCCGTTTGCTGTGTAGTCTCAATGAGCTTTTAGTTAGAGTTGTGACGTAATCGAGGGCACGCATATCGATTGGTACAAAGCGCGGGAAGACATGTAGATATGCATCCGCGTTTAGCGTTCTAAATTTAGCCAAGCGCTTCGCTTTGATGATGACGGGGGTCCACCCAGTCCCAACCGACCTTGTCCTTGTAAATCGATCGCCAATGTACGACGTACGGCGAATTGTGCTATAGGTCGGTGATTTTCCTGCAAAGGCGGCGTTGCCAACCCTAACGAAATGTCCCTAGTTTAGGGTATCAGATATTACATTTTTTGTTTTTTTATTGGGACGCTATTTTTTCTCCAACGTCGTATGCGATAAGTTTTTATACTATATGTTTAACCTTTATTAAGTTAAATAGGGTAAAACACCCAGTTATTGGCACCTTAAGCAGCTTATCAGAATATTTGTAGTTTTTATGTAACTAAAAGTAAAGCAACCTAATTATCCCTTTAAATGGAAAGTCTTTAAAGATTCTTTTATAGTTTTCAAACAAAACATAACTCAAAAATAAGTTTTATAAGTAAAAAAAATATATTTTTTTTATTTTATGTAACTTTTCCAGTCATTGGCAGATATCTCTAGTCATTGGCATTATAACTTAACGTATTATTGGCATCAAGTCCCAGTGTTTGGCAAAAGATAAAATGCAGTAATTGACGCTTATCCTAGTCATTGGCATGTAACTGGATCCAACTATTAACCATTTTCCAAATTCTATTTTTTAATTACGAATTTTTTTTTTCTGAAATGTTTAAGTAAAATATAAATTGATTCTTTATTTTTTTGATTAGCTAAGTTATGTACAAAATAAATAAACGAAAAAACTAAGAAAATGGTTCTAAACAACTGCTCACTAAAATAATACAAAATAGGCAATTAATCCTAACAAACCAAGATAAAATATTGTTAATTTAGTTTAATTTTAAACGCCTCCAAAGCCTTGCAAACTTTGCATTTATAAAATTTTTTGTAGTTACCATGTTTTTTTAAACACTTTTCATGGTATGATTTTGTACAAGTCTGACACCGTATGCCATAAGTTAACAAAGAGAAATTTTTGGTACATGAGACACAAAGTCCTTTGTTGCATATCACATTATTGATAGGAAGGCCTGATTTGGTACTTGGTTCAGTTGAAGAAAAAATGTCGGTTGATTTTTGTTTATAGGATTTCTTATTTTTGTATTAGCTATTTTTTTTTTCAATATTTGGTAAAAAATAATCAATCGCCAATAATTAGTACAGGTCAAATTTCAAGTAATTTAGTTATTGGCAGTAATGCCAATAATTGGTTTGCACTAAAATATGATACCCAGTAGTGGGCATATTGAAAATTCACTTTTAAAAGTAAAATAATTAAATAAAAAATTGTTAAAATTTTGTATAATGACTCTAAATATATAACAAATTGTTTAACTTTTATTAACATGCATTATTAAGGCAAAAAATAAGTATTTAAAATTTACCAATTACTACCAAAATGGCGATTTTTTGCCGCGCGAAAGGTGGGCAATTTTTCGATAACGTTTACATTAAAACATTGAGTAATGTCAAACCTGATTGACATTCAAGGGATGGTGCTGTTGCCCCTGGTTATAAAAATGTAAGTACGTATAAAACTTAATATGGAAATTTGCTTATAAAATGATTTATTTTTCCTCCTTGCCAATAACTGGGTACCTGCCAACTATTGGGTGTTTTACCCTAGGTAGTCAAATTTTAAAAAGGAAAGTTCTCTGGTTACCTTATATGCAAAAATTTAAAAGTGCATCAAATTGGGACAGCGGAATATTCCAGAAACAGGTGCAACAGCAAACTAAACTGCTCGTCATAAAAATCGACGCACCTAGTTTTTTGGAAAATATTTGAAAGCTCGTTATTGCAAAATTACTGAATCGATTTTGAAAATCTTTGGAAATTCTGAATACCTGATTCTTTGACTCTTATGTCTAATTTTGGGAATACGATATTTTGCACATAGCATTATACTACAGGGTGTTAAACGAAGAGATGTATTTTTTCCGAAATTTTGAGTATTTAGAATTTGCAAAGATTTTCAAAATCGATTCAGTAATTTTCCAATAACGAGCTTTCAAATATTTTCCAAAAAACTAGGAGCGTCGATTTTTATGACGAGCAGTTTACATCGTAACGACAATAACGATTTGTCAAATGATGTAATTTACCTGACATACCTATACATTTCGTCATAATTTAGCCAGAAAAAAATAAAAGACGACCCTGTATACAGTGTGAGTCATTCAACTTGAAACTTTGAAATATCTCTGTATGAATTTTACGAAAAAATGTTTAAAAAAAAAATTAAATGATTCTAGGGGGGAAATCAATCGTTACTAAAATTGGTCCTCATACTCTCCTCCTTATAGGGGGAACAGGGGGTAACTTTAAAATTTCCAATGGAACACCCTATTTTTATTGCAGATTCGACTAAAAATAGGTAGATTTTGTCTAAAACATTTTTTCATATTTTCAATAGATGGCGCTGTAATGAAAAAAAATCAATTTTGTTCGATTTTTCTTCTGTATACGATACTCCAATAATTTTTGAATAAAATAATTTTAATTAAAGGTGGCCTTCGACTTTAATGCATTTATTAATTCGTTTTAATATTCTGCTAACACTGCTCTGGGATATTCCCAAATCTCTAGATAATTCTCGTGTGCTTGCATGAGGATTAGCGGCCGTTGCTGCTAATACATTATTACATTATCATTTTTTAACACTCCCGTTTTTAGTAAACTGCTTGACTGTACGTTGAAATGAAGTATGTGATTGAATTTTATCCGGAAAACGCTGAGCGTATATATTAACAGCAAGATTCCTGCCTGCTTCTCCATAAATCAAAATCATTTCTATTTTTTCTTAAGATCTTCCACTGTTAAAAAATCCATTATGAATAAATGCCTAACGAAATGAGGTATTTTTGTTTGCAAATTAATCTTCGAACTAAATTGATTAAATAATGCTAAACCATGTGTAAATAGTTTCTTTATACGTCAATAATAATTATTATTTATAACTAAATACCATTTTTTATACCTCAATTAGGATTAAATTAATTAATTGACAAAGTAATGTTTTTTTTATAAATTAGGTATTTTTATTAAAAATAGTACAATAATCCTTTAAATTAAAGGATTTAATGCTGGCAGGTAAAAAGTGACCATGGTGCGCAATTGATAATTATCACCGAATGAAATAATGTATAAAACTTAAACCAAAGGAAACTTATATATTAGTTCAAAAATCGTAGGTACTTAAAAAATTAGATTTAATTTAATAGGAAAAAAATTATTGCAGAATCGTATACAGAAGAAAATTCGAACAAAATTGATTTTTTTCATTACAGCGCCATCTATTACAAATATAAAAAAATGTTTTAGACAAAATCTACCTATTTTTAGTCGAATGATCCGAATCTGCAATAAAAATAGGGTGTTCCATTGGAAATTTTAAAGTTACCCCCTGTTCCCCCTATAAGAAGGAGAGTATGAGGATCAATTTTAGTACTGATTGATTTCCCCCTCGAATCATTTAATTTTTATTTTCTAACTAACTGAGATATTTCAAAGTTAAATGACTCACCCTGTATAGTAAAATAACTCCATAAAACCATGCAACGTACAGCTCATCATTTAAACGTTTTATTGGCTACATTGGCAATCGAATATTTATTTAAAGCAAATAAATAGAGGAAGATAAGAAAAATCGTTTGTCAATTGCAACTGGATCGAAGTTCAGCATATCAATTTCAAGAACTAACGGGTTAAAAGCCAATTGAAAACGAGTCTGTCAGCTATATTTAGTGTGGCTGAAAAAAAGTTTACACGAACGTTGCAAAAAATGCTAATAAATCAGTTAAATGCTGTGGTCTAATCATTTATTTTAATTGATAAACTAAACCCAATACGTTGTTTATATTTACCTCTTCTTGGAATGGAAAAAATAAATTCAAGGTTAAAACACTAAAACCAAAATTATATAAGAAGGTAATACTTGAAACGGGTTTTCTTTTTTTATTTATTTACAATGAAGTTTTT